GATTGGGTGGGAGCTTGGCTGTGTTCTGATTGGGTGGAGGTGTGTTCTGATGGGTTAGGGGCATGGCTGTGCTCTGATTGGCTGGGGGGTTGGCTGTGCTCTGATTTGGCATGGAGGGGGAGTTAGGCTAGTGCTCTGATCTGGCTGGTGGATCCACATCCCTTAGTGTTCTGTTTGGTTGTGCTCAGGTTAGTCTGAGTTGCAGAGGGGTTTGAGATTTTGGGCTGCCTTGCTATTTTTTGGCTTCGCGTTCGTGGTCGTGCTTCCTCTTCATGGAGGGTGTAAGTTTGCTTCATGTATGGATTGGAGGGGTTTAAAGTGGCTAATGATGCAGCTGTGGTCTGGCTTCTGGTTTGTGGTCGTGCCTCATAGTCAGTGTGGCTTTGGGTTTGTTTTTTGCGTGGATGTTTGGTGGTGACCTCCTGTGTGGTTTTTGTGAGTGTGGGTCTGGTATCAATTTTTGTGTTAGGGAGTCGTTTGTCAATGATGGCGGGTTTCCAAATGGCTGGTAGGCGGGACAGGGTATCATCTCGCTGTTGCATGCCTGTGTGTGGGGGGTTTTTCTATCTCGATGGATTCTACTGATTATTATTGTTATTCAAAATGTTCACTTTGGGCATGGTTTCTGAGTATTTCTTAAATCAATATCATGTCCTGTAGCTTGTTAAGGTGTTGGACCAGGGAAGATGTTGGTTCCTCTTTTTTGATTGAGTTCTTATGTTCTTCCATGCGTGCACTTATTCTTCTGTTGGTTTGTCCGATGTATGTGGTGGGACAAGTGGTGCATGGGATTTCGTATACTCCTTGATTTTCTAATTCAATTTTATCTTTGGGGTTTCTAAGGATGGTGGATATTTTTCTGTTTGAGCAGAATGCTGTTTTGATGTTGTGTTTATGGAGGATCTTACTGATTCTGTCTGTGGTGCCTTTTATGTATGGGAGGAGGGCTTTGCCGTTTTCTTGTTCTTTGTCTTGGATTTTAGTGGCGGGTTTCTTTTGGATTGTAGAGTGTTTGTTTAATATTATTTCTATGGAATCCATTAGGATGTTAGATACATTGGTGAGAGTGTGTAGTTCGGGTGTCTTAGGTGTAGTGTTCGATCAGTAAGCGTTTTGTTCTGGAGATGAGTGTCTGGGCTACAGAGTTGATCTGTGCTGGGTGGTGGTGTGAGAGAGCGTGCAGATAGCGGTTTGTGTGTGTTTTCTTCTGGTAGATGGTGTGTCCTAGGGAGCCATTGGATTTCTTGTAGACTAAGACATCCAGGAAGGGAAGTTGGTTGTTAGTTTCTGTTTCCATGGTGAACGGTATTTTGGGGTGTAGGCTGTTGAGGTGTGTGAGGACGTTGTCCAGTTTTTCTTTCCCATGTGGCCAGATTATGAAGGTGTCGTCTACGTATCTGAGCCAGAGTTTGGGTTTGTGATCAGATTTTTCTAGAGCTTGGGTTTCAAAGTGTTCCATGTAGAGGTTGGCAATGACAGGTGAGAGGGGTGATCCCATGGGTGCTCCTTCTGTTTGTTTGTATTTTTGTCATTATAGATGAAGTATGTGTTGGATAGGCAGTGGTTGGTCAGATCTAAGATGTGTTTGGGGGGGTTATATTTGTTTTGGATAGCTGTAAAGGCTTCTTTGATAGGCACTTGTGTGAAGAGGGATATGACATCGAAGCTCACTAGTAGGTCGCTGGGCTGTAAGTTTTGTTTCTTTATGATCTCTATAAACTGGAATGAGTTTTTTACGTGTGAGGTAATGGATTCTTCATAGGGCTGTAGTTGTTTGGCGAGAAATTTGGCTAGGTTTTGTAGAGGTGAGCCTATGGAGCTGACTATAGGTCTGAGTGGGGTTCCTTCTTTGTGTATCTTGGGGAGACCATAGAGTTGGGGCATCTGGATGATTTCTCTCTGGGAATGATTCTTTGCTGGATCTCTTCGCTAATGGGGGAAGCTTTTATTTTGGATCTGGTGGTTTTTTCCAGGTAGGTGGTGGGATCTGTATTTAGGGTTTGTATGTGGAGTCTTGGAGTAGGTTGGTTAATTTGGTTTGGTAGTCAGATGTGTTCATAACCACCGTGGCGTTGCCCTTGTCTGCTGGTAGGATTATTATGCTGGTGTCTTCTTTAAGGATACGTAGTGCTGTCTGTTCCTCGTTGGGTAAGTTGCTTTTGGGTGGCTTGCTGGTGCAGAGGATGTTGGTGATTTCGAGTCTGATTCTGTTGGCGTCGTCGGGGTTGATTTTAGTCAGGCTGGTTTCAACTCCACATATAATGGTTTCAGTGGGGATGTGTTTGGGAGCGACTGCAAAGTTGAATCCTTTGGAAAGGACATTGGTTTCGGCTTTGGTGAGGATCCTATTTGAGATGTTATGCACTGTCTGCTTCATGTGTGGCTGTGAGGGAGGAGGGGTTTGTTTCTGGCGTTCTTGTAGTCTTCGGAGTTTGTTGGTGTGTGTATCTGTCTTGAGGGTGGTCTGTGTTTCGGCTCTCCAGACGGCAAGTTGTTTGGATTTGTCCCAAAGTGCGGGGTGGATCTTGTTGCTGAGTTTGAGGTGGAGTGTGAGGAGATCTTTGTTATAAAAGCCTCCCCCATTAGCGAAGAGATCCAGCAAAGAATCATTCCCAGAGAGAAATCATCCAGATGCCCCAAACTCTATGGTCTCCCCAAGATACACAAGGAAGTAACCCCACTCAGACCTATAGTCAGCTCCATAGGCTCACCTCTACAAAACCTAGCCAAATTTCTCGCCAAACAACTACAGCCCTATGCAGAATCCATTACCTCACACGTAAAAAACTCATTCCAGTTTATAGAGATCATAAAGAAACAAAACTTACAGCCCAGCGACCTACTAGTGAGCTTCGATGTCATATCCCTCTTCACACAAGTGCCTATCAAAGAAGCCTTGACAGCTATCCAAAACAAATATAACCCCCCAAACACATCTTAGATCTGACCAACCACTGCCTATCCAACACATACTTCATCTATAATGGACAAAAATACAAACAAACAGAAGGAGCACCCATGGGATCCTCCTCTCACCTGTCATTGCCAACCTCTACATGGAACACTTTGAAACCCAAGCTCTAGAAAATCTGATCACAAACCCAAACTCTGGCTCAGATACGTAGACGACACCTTCATAATCTGGCCACATGGGAAAGAAAAACTGGACAACTTCCTCACACACCTCAACAGCCTACACCCCAAAATACAGTTCACCATGGAAACAGAAGCTAACAACCAACTTCCCTTCCTGGATGTCTTAGTCTACAAGAAATCCAATGGCTCCCTAGGACACACCATCTACCAGAAGAAAACACACACAAACCGCTATCTGCACGCTCTCTCACACCACCACCCAGCACAGATCAACTCTGTAGCCAAGACACTCATCTCCAGAACAAAACGCTTAGCTGACGAACAACACCTAAAACCCGAACTACACACTCTCACCAATGTACTAACATCCAATGGATTCCATAGAAATAAGATTACAAACCTAATCCAAAAAGAAACCCCCACTAAAATCCAAGACAAAGAACAAGAAAACGGCAAAGCCATCCTCCCATACATAAAAGGCATCACAGACAGAATCAGTAAGATCCTCCATAAACACAACATCAAAACAGCATTCTGCACAAACAGAAAAATATCCACCATCCTTAGAAACCCCAAAGATAAAATTGAATTAGAAAATCAAGGAGTATACGAAATCCCATGCACCACTTGTCCCACCACATACATCGGACAAACCAACAGAAGAATAAGTGCACGCATTGAAGAACATAAGAACTCAATCAAAAAAGAGGACCCAACATCTTCCCTGGTCCAACACCTTAAAGCTACAGGACATGAAATTGACTTTAAAAATACCAGAACCATTGCCAAAAGTGAACATTTTAATAACAGAAATCAGAGAAGCCATCGAGATAGAAAAACGCCCACACAGCATGAACAAGCGAGATGATACCTCCCGCCTACCAGCCATTTGGAAACCCGCCCTTATTGACAAACGACTCCCTAACACAAAAATGATACCAGACCCACACTCACAAAAACCACACAGGAGGTCACCACCAAACATCCACGCAAAAACAAACCAAAGCCACACTGACTATGAGGCACGACCACAAACCAGAAGCCAGACCACAGCTGCATCATTAGCCACTTTAAACCCCCAATCCATACATGAAGCAAACTGACACCCTCCATGAAGAGGAAGCACGACCACGAACGCGAAGCCAAGGAAAATAGCAAGGCAGCCCAAAATCTTAAACCCCTCTGCAACTCAGACTAACCTGAGCACAACCAAACAGAAACTCCCCCAGCCAATCCACAGCCAGCCAATCAGAGCACAGCCAAGCCCCTAACCAATCAGAACACACCTCCACCCAATCAGAACACAGCCAAGCTCCCACCCAATCAGTTCATACCCCCACTGGCAGTTAAAAGGAAGAAACAGCTAAGACCACACATTGCTCCTAGAAGCACGAAGCCGAAAACACCAGCCTGAAGATGACAAATGGGACTTTGTCGAAACATCGCCAAGACACTTCCAATTTTACGCGGGAGCCACAGTTTTATACCTGATTTTATATTTCATGGGTTATGAGAAAAATACCAATCGATAGGCTTGGGGTGTTGGCCTCCCAAGAGGTCTAGGACATGGGTCCCCAACCTCCGGTCCATGGACCGGTACCGGGCCGCAGCATGCCAGCAACCGGTCCACACAAACAAGCAAAGCCCCATCCGTGGGATGCACACAAAACCACCCCCCTCCGGTCCATGGAAAAACCTCTCTTTGGTTGTTCGGGTTTTCTCCCCTAAAAATTGGAAGTGTCTTGGCGACGTTTCGCCGAAGTCCCATTCGGGGGGATCAGGCTCCACTTTTCAGCTGGCGTGCCTTTCTCCTCCTCCTCTCTCACTGCTTTCTTCCATTCATGGTGGGTGAATCAGGCTAGGCTGGGGTGGGTGTCCAGAGCAGGAGGTTTCCTGGAAGGGGAGTGAGGGAAGCTGTTTTTCTTCCCACACGTGACCACAGGCATCCACAGGAAAAGGCACAAAAGAAAGCTGGAGAAACTAGCTGAAAAGACAGTGGCCGCCGTCCTGGGAAAACACGTTTAGCAAATGAGGTAACTGATAAGCCCGTTTTTCTGGGAGGCAGCCCTGCAACTGAGCCAACTCTCCTTGTTTTCATGGCCTGGCAGAGGAGAGAGATCAGCAACTTTGAGTACCTCATGCACCTGAACTCCCTGGCGGGACGGACCCACAGTGACCTCATGCAGTACCCCGTGTTTCCCTGGGTCCTTGCAGACTACCATTCCCAGGTGAGCCCCTTCCCGGTCAGGCGACTGCATCAGGGCTTGGTTGACCGAGAACGTCCCTAGAACAACATAGCAGTCCATAGAAAGTGCGCCTGGTGTGCCACTGGAACCCCTCCCCCGCTGGGCCGATAGGTAAAGCGATGTTGCATTTGCATCCCAGGCTCTGGACCTGGCCAATCACAACACCTTCCGTGACCTCTCCAAGCCCATGGGGGCACAGACAGAAGAGAGGAAAGAGAAATTCATCCAGCGCTTCAAAGAAGTGGAGAAGACTGAAGGTACAGACCTCATTTCCAGCATCACCATGCTGTACCCCAAATCCCTGCTCCCCCCAACCCCCTTGTCTTTTTGGCAAGAAGGTCTGGAACAAACTGGAAGCAGCAGGAAGGTTGTTCTCACAAAACTGAGCGGAGATTAGGAGCTGGATAGAACGGGGTGGGGTGGGGGTGGGGTGAGCAAGTGCAGCCCACTAGAACTGACTGGTCCGGCATCTTCCTGAGCCATCGGTCAGCCCTGATCAGGGGCCTGCTTTGGTTAAAGACGTGAATGAAAACTTGCTTGATAAGACACATTATTACACATTTCAGGGATTGCTTGATTTTGAAGAAATCAAGACAAATTGATATATCCAGAAATGAAGTCCATAAACTGTGGATTTTTCCTGTTTGTAGGTAACCTCTCGGCTCAGAGCCACTACTGCACCCACTACTCCTCCGCCATGATTGTGGCTTCCTACCTGGTCCGCCTGGAGCCCTTCACAGAAACCTTCCGATCTTTGCAGGTGGGATGAACTTTGCACGGGGTGGGGTCTTCCAAACACAGGGGTGGGTGGGTGAGTGGGTGGGGTGGCACCCGTGGCAAAGGCTCTGATGAAATTGGGAGCTTTTCAGCCGCACGAGCCCCCCCCCCCCAGTGGGACTCTGTCCTGGTGCTTCTGGTAGCAAATGGATGCGTGCAGCAGGGAGGATTGCAAGGAGCTATGCAAGCCTAAAGAAACTTGGAAGCCAGGCGGAAAAGCTATAGCCGAGAGTTGCCTTCTAAGGTAGCTGAGAACTCAATGGCCTAGCAAGAAAGTTATTTATGCAATAGGCTCAGTCTTCACCATTAACTCTTAATTTCTCTGTCCCCCCTCCCACTGTTTCTTTCATTCGTCTTTTTCCTGTTGCCTACTAGTAAAAAGTACCCTGCACAAAACACAAAACAGCCTAAAGCAATTAAACAGTAGTAAGATTTAAATTCACCTTCCATGTAGTATGAAAAGTCAGTCTGGTGCTCTTTCAAAAGGAGTCCTTGCTTTGGAAACTGCATTAAGGCTGCAGGAGTCTCTGTGGAAGTCAGGGGTCCAATTTTCATTGCCAAAATAGCCGTGGAGCACAAGGAGTGGCGGGTGGGGGTGTGAGGTGTCGGTGTGGATGTGGAAATTTCCCTGCAGCTTCATAAAGTACCTGACAGGAACCGGGCAGCTTCTCCTGTCCCTCACCACTAGTCGTCAACTAGATGAGAGCATCAGGAAAGGAAAAGGAGAATTAACTCAAAATGGTAAGAACGACCGACCACTAAGAATGGAGGTCAGCTTCTTCATTAACAGGAGAGGAATGAGGAGGGCACATCATGAAGGCCCAGCAGAGACAAACGCTCTGGGCACCGTCATCCCTCAGTTATGGAGAGCCAAGAATGAGCCCTTCCTTTGATCTGGGTCTTCTGAATCAGCCAAGGTCAAGGTCAGGCAAACTCTTGCGCCAGTTTCAATTGGTAACTGCTACTGGCACGGTCGTCTGGCAGCATTTCGTTTCTGTGAGGAGGGTGAGAGCTTCCAAAAGTAAATGAATGAATGAATAAATGGAATAGTTCACTCCAGCACTATACGTGCAAGTAAAGTATCATTGAAAAAGCCCTAGCAGTGCTTAAACTCACAGCAGAAATATGAAACTATGTTATGAACGAAGTGCTACTGTTAAATATACTTTGCTAAGCGTGAAGCGATGCCTCGGTGCCTAACAGAGGCAGGACACCGGACAAAAGATACGGAAGGAATCTGTGACCTTGATCTGCAAATCCCTCCTAGTCCTAGAGGCAGACTTGCCTAACAAAGGGACATTGTACAGTAACATGAGCTAAAGGAAAAGCCTCCATTGTCCCTTATTGTTATGGAAAAAAGTAAAAAAAAATCTTTTAAAACATTAAAAACGGTGACAGCGAGAAAGAAAACAGAAATGGATTGTAGGAGAGGTGAGAGTTGCAAACGAAGCAAACAGGAATAAGGTTCATGCATTGCAGGAACAATTCTCTGGGCTGGAGAATATTCTGAGTTTCATAACTCACCATGAAGGGAGCTTTATCCAGCGGTGATCTTAAAAATATGTTACGTTTCCCCTTTAGCAGGCAGTCAGAACCTTTGCCGCCTCTTAAGTTCTGCAGGTTCAGAGAACAAATTTGGCTCCCAGGCCTTGCACCCAGGACCCCAGAGAAGAGCCGGGGGGGGGGGGAGGTTCCTGCATGGACTAATTAGCCACCCCTCCTTTCCTGTGCAACCTGGGCATCCTGAGAGAAAGAAAGCCCACTAATTCTGATACAAGTATATGCAAATACAGTTATTAATATAAGAAATACTGCAAATCAGTTATTGCTTTCTTTATAAATAAAACAGGCGTGCGTTTTAGAGATATTACTTTCTCCAAAATGCATTAGATAGCTGCAAAAAATTACATTTTTCTGGATGGTAATATCTTTAACCAGATTTGAGGCGCTAACAACATTTCCTATGTAGATATTATTTTTATTTAATACAGATAACCTTTTTATTACAAATCACATCGTCTCTCTAGAGATTACCATCAGATCTCATAAAAACGGAAAAAGCAGATGAAAAGGTGTCAGTCACATACTCTGTCCAGAGTGTCCTCTATCTATGCAGATCAAAGCCAGGGAGCCCCGAAGAGGTTTCGGAGAGAGCTCGTTAGCTGGCGCTTTCTGCAGAGCTGACTCGTCTAGTTTTAACTGGAAAATGGTTCCGGGGGCCGCTAAGGCTGCCTCTGAGTGATGAACTCCTCTGCAACAATGACTTTGCAACACACCCGCCAACCTGCTCACGGTTCCTTGTCCTCCCTTGCACAATCCCACTGGTGTAGATTTACTCACAGGATGGGGCAGAGAGTAGTGCAATTAGGGAGAAGGAGGCGAACCCTTACTTTTTGGGGTAACACCCCCTCCCCCCGTGGATTATCAGAGGAGCACCCTGGGAACATGATTTGCTTCACTTTGGGGGGGGGAGGGCAGTTTTGTGCAAATGTTTTGGCATCACTGATGAGACTGTAAGTTTCAAGAAATCCTTAAGCGGAAAGCAGCTGATGCAACAACCTTCTGCCTGGACAGAGTTAAGGATGGCCTCACTGTGGGAACCTGTAATTGTTTGCAGATTCAAAATAATGAAACTGAGTATGGAAGGTGCAACAATCTGAGCCACCTTCCAGTCAATACTTCGTATCATTCTTTTGGGGGAAAAAAATAACAGCTTGCAAATGTTTCCTCCACCCAGCTAAGAGTCTTCCTTGCAAAACTCTTCTCTCTGGGAAATGTTACCCCTGCTCCCTGCCTGTTGCGTCCCTTTGAGATCCGTGCTCAGGTCTGAGGACTCTGAAGTCCATTTCAAGCCCTTTCCCCCTTCTTTCCTCTAAAGCATTTTCTGCAGAGTTTGGAGACACATTTTAGACAATTGCCTTCTTGAAACATCCAAACTCTTTTCAGCTTCAGTTCCTTTGCTGAGGAAATATTACCTTTGAGGTTATGCCGAAACTTAGAGAAGCCACATGCTTGCGTTCACCTGTACAATATTTTCTGTGCACATCAGCACCGCCACACTCTCCGGAAGCACCCTAGAGATCCCTTCGTGATTAATGGCTGGCAAGGAATCCGTTTCCCCACGTGCTTCACTCCTTTTCCTCCTAACGTGCCTTGCAGGGTGACGTCCAAACATTTCAAAATGCTTTGTTCTGACTCTTCAAACCATTTTGAAATGTTTTGTCATAATCACGGCTTGCAGTTCTGGTGGATGCTGATTCCCGGAGGCCTGTGGCCTAAAGCTGTGGTTGGTGGCATGGCTTCTCTTCTTTTCTCCCCCTCCTCTCAACAGGGAGGGGACCTGGATGTTGCAGATCGCATGTTCCACAGCGTGAGGAACACCTGGGAGTCAGCCTCAAGAGACAACATGACGGATGTCCGGGAACTGATACCTGAATTCTTTTACCTCCCTGAATTTTTAACAAACCACAACCACATTGACTTTGGTGAGTAGGCGTACGCTGCGTTGGATTTCCGGTTAGAATCATAGGCTCTCCACAGTCTCAGAATGATTGAGACGGATTTGCCTCTTGAGTGAAAGAACCAAAATTAAAGCCTTCTAGATGAACCTATGCTCAAACGTGCAAATAAACGTTGGAATGTTGAGCTGGCTGGATGTCCCATTAAAAACTAGTCTTTTTTCATTTTTATAGTTCTAATTGCAGCCAAAGTGCTCCTGCCTCAGCACCCCTCCCTTCTAAAACACCCTGGAGGAATTTGTCCATGGCTAAATCTATTTTTCCTTATCAACAGATTCTGTCTAGACAAAAACTGGACAGATCACAGCGGTTATCAACTCAGCAGTTAAATCTGCTTGAAGTCCACGCCACAAGATTTGGACCTGGGATGATCACTAAGGATCTTGCTCCATTGTTGCCTTCCAATTTTTTTTTTACTTGTTGCCAGCAGCTTCTCCCACCAAATCCCAGCTGTCCTCTGACGAGGGCTTCTTAAACTATACCCTCTTTGTGTGGATTCTTCTGTACCACCAGAGCGTCTCCTCTTCTGTCCCTTGCAGGATGCTTGCAGGACGGGACCCGGCTGAACGACGTGGACCTGCCACCTTGGGCGGGAGGAAACCCTCACTGGTTTATTAGGCTGCACAGGCAGGTCTGTACGGAGAGGCGGTTTGGTGGAATCAGGACCACAAAGTCAGAGATAATATTCACAACATACGTTTTAGTCTAAAATAAAGGTAAAGAGAAATTTCTGAAAAGAAATAGGATTCCCTTTTTGCAGCCGTTACTCATAGCCTTTGTATTTTGAAGTGGACATTATACATGAGGCCACTGTGATGAACCAGACATGTAGGCTTCTTACAGCCCCCCCAGCCCCCTCCCTTGTGAGAAGGGATAGGATGCCTTCCTGCCGTCCAGGTAACTGAGTGGCTTCCGTTGGGTTTCAGGCCCTGGAAAGCGACTACGTCAGCAGCCACCTCCACCACTGGATCGACCTGATCTTCGGCTTCAAGCAGCAGGGCTCGGCTGCCGTGAAGGCCACGAACGTCTTCCACCCCTATTTCTACAGCGATCAAGTACAAATGGACAACATTGGTGACCCTCTCATCAAGAGCACCATCCTGGGATTTGTCAGCAATTTTGGACAGATCCCAAAGCAGGTACGATACAAACACGGGCAGGGTGCCATTGAGCAATCAAGGACATAGAATTAGCAGGAAATGAAATTATTTTCATCTCATGTTGAGATTTGTTGTTATGGGATTTCTTGAAAAATTAACCTGGTTGCCAAAAGAAAGTTGAATTTTGGTGTTTTCAGGCATCACTCAGCCACCACTGAAGCAATATAAAACTTATCTTTATTAATATAATATTAATTTATCCAACGATGACTCTAGAAGATGATACAAGTCAGGGTGCAGATCCCGTTTTTGTCTTCATTCATGTGCTAACTTTTCTGATACCCTCTGAGTTTAATATCATTTTAATATATTTTGTTTTGTTTTGATAACTTGGAAATCATATATCAGGTTTTCTTCATCTAATCAGTAATCAAAGTTATTAAGTACTATTATTTAATTGCTTAGCTCACTCGTTGGACTTGAATCATTTTTCCTCCCAAGTTTGTAAAGGGCTTTTCATGTGAACGTTTACATCTCACTCTGCAAATCACAATGTAAGGAGGAGGAATGGTTGCTCTCCTCCTCGCTGGCCTTCCTGAAGGAAAGCAGGGATCCCTCCCTCGTTCTCATCAGCGCCTGAAGCAGGGTGTTCCCTCCCTGTGACACAATATACTTTTACTATTTTATTCATGTACAGCTTTAATGTCTGCTTTATTATGCTAATACTGTGCTTACTGTAACTTTTTCAGAGATTTTTGGTTGCTACCATAACTCTTTGCATTGAAAAGTAAAAAGTAATTTCTAAGGAAACAAATATTTTAAAGATATACAGTGGAGCTCCTGATGCATGTGTATGTTACTTTACGGAATCCATTGATTTGATGTAATTTGTTTATTTATGGTTCTTTTTCATTCTCAGCTTTTTACGAAACCGCATCCCTCCAGAAATGCTGTGAGCCTGAGGAAACATTCAGTGGGGAAAGACAGCTTCCTCTTTCCTTCTCCGGCTCTCTCTGTCAGTAATCTGTATAATCTGAAACTGACATCAATTATTCCCAAAGGTATAGACTGGATAAACAGTGCACAAAGAGCATTATAACTTCTAGATCGGGGCACTTTTCTTTTGGCATTTAGAGCGGTTCAGCTCTAAGAGGGGAACTGGGGGAGAAAGAGCATTCTAGACATCGGATGGCACAAAACTTTCTGGAACAAATTCAAGTAGCAGATTTTTTTTCCCTCTGTAAAATGTGTTCTAAAATTATTTTCTTTCTCTTCCATAGAGGCACCTCAAGGACCTGTTGGTCATATTGTATGTACAGAAAAGGGGATTTTGGCTGTGGAGAAGAAAAGTATTTTGCTTCCTCCACTGTGGAGTAAAATATTTTCCTGGGGATTCAGTGACTTCACCTGCTGTCTGGCTGATTCTGGATCAGACAAGGTAATAATGAACTACAGATTGCTACCTGTTGGGTAGTGCATGACAAGCCACTCCCGCCCACCAAACCTGAGACAGGTGGCCAGTCGGGGCGTGACACACCTCCGGCCACTGTGTGGACGGCGCTCTTGGCGACCTCCTCTTGGTGGGGAAGCCAGATGGCCTGGAACCCCAACCTTGTTTAAAAAGAGAAGCTTGCGTGAAATGCCGAAAGGAAGACAAGTTACAGCACTGCTAGATGAGTGGGAAAATCTCCTTCCCTCCTTCAGCAGCAGATAAGATGGATGCATTTTTCCACTTAATAAGCGGTATGAAATGTTCTGAGTATATTTTGGAATGTACTCATTATTATGAATTCATTAGTGTTTTGATATTGTCAGTTGTTTGTTGGTTTTTCACTGGTGTTCGTGACTTGGACAAAGAAGCCAGTCTCAGTGGAGGCTGCAGGAAGAAGGCACAGACTTTATATTCAAAAATAATTTGGTAGACCGCATTTTATGGAAAAAAACTGGCAAAAAACAGTATTAAATTGTTTCAAAATTCATATTTGCTCTTCAACTATTTTTGTATTTAATTTTTTAAGCCCAAAAGTATCTTTTACTTAACTCATTTAAAATTCCAGAGTAAGTAAGCATATAAGTAAGCGTGGGCTTCACTCTTCCCTTGTGCTCTTCTCTGCTTCCGTCCTGCCTTGCTGGCTGCTTGGTCCAAGCAGAGGCCGACCGTCCTGGAGGCCCCAGCTGACTGGGGTGACTGTCTCTGCGCTGTGTCTCCCACCCCCGGCACCCTCATCACCTCTGGAAGCAGCTCCGTGGTTTGTGTCTGGGATCTCTGCAGGAGCACGGCGGGAGCCACGGCTTTACTTCTGAAACAGGTAGGTTCCCCCCCCCCAGTTCCTCTTCTGAAGCCGAATGGAGCTGCTGGGGTAGAGAGTCTGGGGCAAGAGCCGCCCACAGGGGCTTAGCAGGAAGCAGAGCAGGAGATTTCTTCTCCCTCCTCCGTATCCCCCTTTCTCACCTTGTTCCTTATCAGGAGTGAAGAGGAAGAAAAATGGGTGGAGAAAAGAGAGAAATTAGCAGGATTAGTTCTGATTTAGGGACAGGGTTCACGTAACCATTAGTCCCCAGCCAGGAAAAGATAAAAGAACTGTTCTGACTAATGAATTAGCTCATTTTGAGGGTCATGATACAATAAATAGTACAATGTTGAATTTTAAGATATGTAAATTCTAGTAGAAACATAGTACGTGGAGTGTAATATTGATCTGTTGCAATCATTTGATGTTTCTCAAAATTATGAAGATTGCTGTCTATGGGAGCTCTTTGTCATGTGAAGGAGACAGTTGGGAATGTCAGCAGAAACAAAATTTGTGCGGAGGAGGCAGTGGGAACGGTGGGCCTCAGAGGCGCTTATAGTAAAAAGAGAAGAGAAAGGGAGAAAGATTAACAGGTGGTGAATGTGGACTGAGCAGAGGAATGGCTGATTTGTGGGTACTGAAGTATTTGGGTCATAGGGAGAGATTGAATGATCCAACCATTAAAAAAAGAAGAAGACATAAATGGGTTAACTGGACTTGATGAGATGTACAAGAAGAGAGAGGTAAAAGGAATAAATGGGAGAATATGAATAGTCTGTTAAAGCAGAAAGATGTGGAGTGGTTAATTATTTAGTTAGATTGCCTTATCTTGTCTTTTGCCTTTAATTTATTTTGCTTATCTTTATATAATATTGCTCATTCTGAAAAGAAAAAGCATGATGGGTGCGTATATATGCATGTTTTATTGCTTTTACTAATTGTATTTGATTACCCTGAAATCTATTGATCTGAAGAATGAACTTTGAAATAAATGCATATAACCGCCAGGACAGCTTCTAACAGCCTTCTCTTCCATGAAACTATCTGATCCCCCTTGGATGCCATTGAACGGCTATACCGGACTGCAGGTCCTGATCTTATTTATTTAATTATCCAGGCACAATGGCCTGACCAGGTGGGAGAGGAAAGAGGGCAGGGGAGCCTCCGTGAAGGAGGGGAGCAGCCCTCCCACGATTCCTTTGGCTCGCAGCATTCTTGGCTGCAGCCGGGCCAAGAGGGCAAGGCTGGCTGGCCCAGCCCAGCTGTCCTTATCAGGGGCCACTTTCCCAGGCCCCTGCTGCGCTTCCTGAAGACCCTCCGGGGGCCGCTCAGATGTCATCGGCTGGGCCTTCAGTAGCGGCCAAAGATGATTTCCTGGGACTTTCTGTGCCCACCGATCAGTGCAGAGGTTGCCCTTCGCAGGATGAAGAAGGGTGGTGTTAACTAAGGAGGGACGGGCGTTATATAAACCATGTCTGTGTCTGTGTGCGTGTCCTTGTGCATCAGGGAGGATTTCTTTATTTCATTCCTTTGACTTACATAGCCACTCATCTCACTTTTACGTGACTCCAGGCGGCTTTCAGTGACGGGAGGGCTGCATCTGGGTTTCTCAGCATGGCGCCTGGAAGGGCCGGCAACCTTGCAGACCCTCCCATGCCTCTCCTCCTCAGACCTCTTGACCTTCTGCAGAAACGGTTGCACATGATTAAAACACGGGATGCTGGCTTGCCCTAAAGCAGAGGGCCGGCTTCTACATAATGTTGGCCATCTTTAAATGAGCCCCCAAAACAAACAATAGTCTGGGAGTGGACCCTCCGCCCAGAACAGGGGCAAAGGCAGGCAAAGGGCAGAAGGAAGCCACTTGTAGGGATTAAATAAGGGGTTGGTGGCATTGGAATACATGGTGGGAAGTGACCCCGTCCTCCATGGCAGCCCTTTTGTTATGGGGAGCCCCCCCCCAGCATTTCTTTCCTCGAAGCACCCACAGCCCCTTCTCCAAATTCCAGAGAGGCCCATCAGTGCAAACAGTTTTGCCTTCCTGGATCAGAATATTTTTACCGCTCCCTTCCAAGGAACCGGGCACAGCGTAAACCAGGCCCCGGTGGGACGACAGTCAAGGGCCAGGAGTTTGTCCCCTGCCTGCTTCGGCCTGCGCCCGCTTAGCCTGCCCTGATTTTCCTGCCCTTGGAGTTCGTTGGCTGCCCCAAATATTAACCCTTTGGAGACACGGAGAAAAGTTTTCTTGTTTCCTCCGACACACGCATAATTTGTTGTATCTTTACCCCTCCCGCCACCTTTTCCATCTTTCAGTGAGTAGCCTAGAGCAGCTGCCCTCCGCTCTCCCCAGCTCTGAGATGCAGTGACAGAACAGGAACAGGAATCGCAACCATAGTCATGCCAGAAGTTGGCAGACAGCGATGTCGGCAATTTAATTCTGCATTCTCACCGTTGACTGATGTGTTTTAGTACTATAGGTCTGAGAGAAGGCTTCATTATTCAATATCTTTCTTTTTAAAAAACGGTGTGGCTCTAACATTCCCCGGCTTGGTTGCAAAGTTCAAGTTCTGCTGCTCGGATATTAAAGGGGCAATCCTACTTCTCTGCTTTTATTTCAAGCCCTTTTGGAATTGCGTTGCCTTCCTATCCAGGGGTGTGTGTGTGTGTCACAAAAGGAGGAGATTGTGCCCTGGTGCCTTATGTCCCTTCCCAAGGGGCTCTCCTCCCACCGAGTCCCCTCCCTGGCCGGCAGGCCTAAGAGGAAGGCTGCACTGCGCTCTCTCTCTCTCTCCCTCTCTCCCTCTCTCTCTCTGTGTGTGTGTGTATGTGTGCGTGTTGTACTCATTGCTTGCTTTGCTCCCCAGCCTCTCTATGGACACACCCAGCCGGTGACCTGCTTGGCCGCCTCCACGGCCTACGGCCTCCTGCTGAGTGGCTCTGTGGACGGATCCTGCATCTTCTGGGACCTGAACCGGTTGACGTGCCTCACCCGGCTTCCTGCCCACGAGGCCGGCCTCTCGGCGGTTGCCATCAATGATTCAACGGTGAGGCCTTCATTTATCATCGTTCTTCTGACAAATCCATGAACATTTCATGATGACTTAATGGGTGCTCTTCTCTGTGAGAAACCATCCTGAGGCGCGACAGATTGATTTTTTTTCTTTTTACCGAGGTTTTTAACAGGATCCTTAATGTTGAAAGAGGGCACTAAAAGCAGCCTCTGAGTCAGAGCAGCCAAAGAGGAGGAGGAAGAGGAGGAGGAGGGGGAGGAGGAGGAGGAGGAGCAGCAGCAGCAGCAGCAGCAGCAGGAGGAGGGCTGCTAGCTCTGGGAGCTTTCAGCTTTCAAGAGATTTTGCCCTCCGGTGTGTTTGGTTACATGCAACCCTCCAGACTCCGTTGCTGGATGCCATATTGGTGAAATAGCAGAAGCTTCTCCCCCCCTCCCCCCAAACCACCCAGGGTTATCTCATGTTGTCTGCATCGGCCAGGTTCATCTTGTGAGACAAAAGTCCTCTCCTGGCTTGCTGGTTTCTCAAAGGGATGTGCCGGTTGATGCAGGGAAACGTACTTGCAGGGAACGGATTAGGATCAGGTGAAGATCAAGGCAGAGGAAGAGGCTTTGGAGCTGGGAATGAGCAGAAAGGAGAGGGCCACTGTTCCACCCACCCACCCAGCCATGCATCCATGCATCCGACCATGGACTGAACCTCTCACTCCCTATCCACACTGATTGGAGAAAGGAGACAAACCAGCCCAGAACTGCGCCACCAGCCCCCAACTCCAAGCCCCACAGCCAGCCCCAGAGGACACTCTAGTCAATGGCATCGAAGGCCACTGAGAGGTCAAGGATGGTTGCGCTACCCCCATCCTGCTCTCGCCAGGCTGCAGCCGAGGCTGTTTCTGTCCCCTGGCTGAATCCTGTCTGGAAGGGATTCAGGATTTCATCCAGGGCCCTCTGAAGCAGCCATGCACCCGCTTTCTCTGCCATCTTCCCTAAAAGGGGAAGGAGGGAGACTGGGCAGACGTCGTTCCATGGCCCAGTTCATTTTGAGCTTTTGCTGTTGTGATAATCTCTCCTCCGTTCCGTGTAACCCGCCTGGGCTGCTCTGTGTGGCCGAGCCCACTTTCCTGCCTGGCCCATGCTGGCTGTCTAATCTTACTTGTGCGATGGGAAGGGCGTTGGCCTAAACTGCACTTGGGACGGTTTTGTAGGGCGAAGTGGCTTCGTGTGCCGGAATGACCCTGTACCTTTGGACGGTCAACGGGCAGCCCCTGGCCAGAGGACAGGCTCCCTTAAGGCCCGGAGGGATCATCTCCTGCTGCTGCTTCTTTGACGTGAAGGACTGGGACGTGCAGAGCCTCCTGGTCACGGGGGACACGGATGGCTGCGTGCAGGTAGGACTCTCCAAGAGGGGGGGAGCACACCTCCTCCAGGGACGTCCTGCTTCACGTCCCAGTGGGGGCAGAGGGAGCCACCCTAGGGGGTACAGCAGAGGCAGGCTCTACAGAACCTCCGCAGAGGCGGATTGGGGACAGGAGCTCCTGCGGACGGGTTCCCTGGCGCTCGTCTCTGCTCGGGCTAGCCCGGTGTCCTGAAGACAAAGATGAACCAGAGAAGCTGTTCCCAACAGTTGGCAGAAAATGGATGAAGTAGCCCCCTCCTTCACACCCCACCTCTCCCCCCCCCCAGTGGGCGAGCTGTGCCGGAGGGAGCAGGCGGCTGGGTCCGGTGGGGCTCCCACAGCCAGATGGGGGGGGCTCTTTCCTTTTCCTGGACTATTGTTTCAAAATACGGGTGTCGAGGGCTGCAGAAACCTGAAATCCGGGCTGCAAAAGGAAGGCCCTCAAGGAAAAAAAACGAACTTCTTTTAAGGTCCCTTTGCTGCCCTCCCATCTCTCAGGCGGTCCTCGGCCCACCACCCTAATTGGGACCAGAGTTTCTATTACTAAGCAAGGTGGCCATTAAGTGAGTCCCACTTATTTTACAGCTTTTTGGTCATGGTTGTTAAGTGAATCACTGCAGTCGTAAAATAAATTACTCAGTCATTAAGCGAATCCATCTCCCCCCCCCCATTGACTTGGCTTGTTGGAAGCCAGCTGGGAAGACGTGAATGGCGACCAGAAAGGCCCCCTCCAGGGGTGCCCCGGTGGCCATAAACATGGTGGTCGTGTGGCTGTGGGGATGGAGCAATGGTCGTAAGTATGAGGACTGGGTGTAAATCACTTTTTTCAATGCTGTTCAAACAGTCACTGAACAAATGGCGGCACTGCCTGGATGCTTTTAGCTAATTCAGCCCTTTTGCCCGTTCTTCTCTCCTCTCTCTTGCCTGGCAGTGTTTAAGACTAGAGGAGGGAAGCTCCCCGTTCCCCCAACTGGAGCAATTCACAAACAAACCGTTGTCCGAGAATTGACTGACCTATTAAAAAGTTTATGGAATCGGCTTCGTTGGGGGGCACTTTTCACTGGTTTTCCCGGATGTTTCAGGTCTGGAAGCTTGAAGGAGCTTCGCCTGGGAGCCTCAGAGAGGAGACGGTGGAAGAAGCTGGCAAGCAGGGTAAGGGCAAAAACCAGGCCTGCAACCAGCCAGCAGGGGGCTCCCTCTGCCAAGTTTTAGTCCTAGCCCTGCAGCTCAAGAGAAAGGCAGAATCCGGCTTGTCTTCCATGGGAGGAAGGCTCCCCCCCCCCCCCCCCGCTTGTCTTTACCCCCTCAGTCACGGGCAGCCAGCGCAGACGCCGAACAAGCAGAGCAACGGCTTGCTGGATTTAGGCCTCTGTATATTTAATGTGCATGTGTGTACCTGACACATATGTAATGCTATTTTGGGAGATTATTGTACATACACCAGCAAGTGTTTTCCCTCCCCTCGCAAGCCAAATTTACACACATCACAAGAATGAATATAGGGTCAATTGGAGATTACTTTTATGGTCATGGAAAAAAATCTATCTGTGTGATTGCTAAGAGTTGCCACGATTACTGGACCGCTCCTCCTCTTCGTATTTGTGGCACAAGTGCAGCACTTGTTTATAATACAACTCCACTTCCTCAGTTGTGCGGCTGGGACCCTGTCTTGCGTCACTCCAGAGGTCACACGTTCTTAGCAGGATCCCGGGAGGTCAGGGTGCATCTCTGGATAGCAAGCAGGCCTCATCCCAGCAGCCTCCGCTCCCTCAAAGCAATTTGCTCTTGAGGTATTTGCAGCAGCAGCAGCTGCCACCAGATATTCCCCCGTTTGTTTTGCAACACTGGAAAAAATGATTAACCCAAAACAGGAGCGTAAAAATAAAGCTGAAGTAACCACGATCGAATTGCATTATTTGCACAGTATTCTTGGCATTTAATTACTGATTGTACAAGGAACAGACTTGGGCACGTTGGCAATAACCAGGACTTTAGGCAATTTGTTTTAACTGGGCAATTATGGGCTGCATTATATCCTGACCGCAGGGTATTCTGGGAGATCTTATTAAGCCCCGAAACAGTCAACACCGACGAACGATTCTGCTGAACTAGGCATGCGATTTAGAAAGCAATAACGCACAAACCCAATTTAGCCACAATTGATGCACCCGCACGTCAGCACGTGGAACTATCCGGGAGGCTGGAAGTGCGGCTGGGCCCGGCCCTTCTCGACTGGCAGGCGGGCGGGCGGGCTAAAGAGGTGGTTCCCCGGTGAACGGGTGGCAGACGGCGGACCCGCCTTCCCGTCTCCGCTTCAGCTTTCCCTTTTTCTCCTCCCTCCCTCCCTCTCCCCCCCCCCGGCAGGCGGCAGAGCGGGGAGAGCGGCGCTTGTCCTCCGCCGAGAGCGGCTGCTTCGCACCAGCCCCGCCGAGGGAGCCGCCCGGCCCGACGCGCCCATCACCGCCCTGGCAACCGCCAGGTAAGCGCCGCTTGGACTGCGGCATCCGGCCAGCTCGCTAGAGGGCGCCCGAGCCGCACGCGCGTCTGGGCCGCCGTTTCCGACAAGCGGGGCGGCGGAACAAGTAGAAGCGCTGCATCCTCCATTAAGGACCCGCGAGAGCTGCGTATCTGCTTACCTCTTGCCAAATAAGTATTTTCAAGCTGGACTGGATTAGACTCAGGATATATGATAAGCATTGAGGAACAGGGTCATCCTGCGGAAGGGAAAGATTACAATCTAAAGGTTATTTCTGTTAGTCTTTCTTCCAAAGCTGTTCCAGGGAATTTCATATATATAAATATATATGAAATCCCCTGGAACAGCTTTGGACAGGGATAGCATCCTCCTCCAGAATTATTTCCTGCAGAATCATCCAGTGTGATCTCAGAGTTCTCAACCATATTGCTCCTAAAACTCTTTTCCCCCCCCCTCCTATCTTTACTTCCTTCCTAGAAATTATTCCAAGCTTCTGGCTGGCAATGAAGACGGGAAGGTCTGCTGTTGGTCAGTGGATGAATAGAAGAAAGAAGTACGAACTGGTCTCTTAAACAACTGTGGAAGTGTGTAACTGCGGGATTCACCTACATGTGACCTGCCCTTGATTAGAAGAGGTGGAGCGCTCTTGAATTGAGGAAAAATGTGAATCCCAGCAAAAGCGCCTTCCGGCAGATCCCTCAGCTGAGCAAAGGATGGGGTGGGATCGGTCTCCTCTTGGTTGTGAGGACCTGAAATGATTCGCTGAGGTGGGGCAGACGGGAGAAAATTTCAGGAATATTTGGCCCCAAAGTCTCCCTCTGTTGCCTTGCAAGGCTGAGGTGGCAAAGTCCACCCTGGGCGGTTTAAGAAGGGCCCAGACTGGATCCGTGGGGAGATTTCTCAGATTATGAAGAGGGGCGAAAATTCTCCTCTCTTGGAAAGGCTCCTCCTGCCATCGCCAGTCCAAGGAACAAATCTGTGGAAATGTTTGGCGTGTCTTTCAACTAGTATTATTATCTAAATATTATCAGATAATTCTGGGTGTTATTTATTATCAATCTTTCTGCTTTCCTGAAACTTTAGCAGTGGGGGATTAAGCGTCACAGTATTCATCCTGATATCTGAATTCCTGGCAGTTTCTTTTGTCTCTCCTTTAAAAAAAAAAAAAAAAAGTGCCAGACAGCCACAGATGTTGACTGGGACCTGCTGAGTGCGAAGGAATTAAAGTTTCCCACTTGGCCTCTTTTTCTTCTCTGACTAACTGCAACCAGGGTGGCTGCTCTGCTTGTCCGTGGGCCGGCCTGGGTGGACGCCCGTCTCCCGGGCCAGAAGCAGAATCCAAACTGAAACGCACCAGAACTGCTCTGGAGAAAGATGAGAGGGGAAACGCCCTCTCGGGATTCGGGGGTCACCTGTGCTTTGCTCTTGACGTTTCAGTTTTTCTGCCCAGCCAGACCTAGTTCAGCTCCCAGGGACAGAGAGCTACACCTGTGTTTAGGACTTGGTGTGATTTCTAACAAGTCGATAAATGTCTTGTGCTCTGGTGCATTTCCTCGGGATGTTCTCGGTAGAGACTGTGTGTGTGATTGCTATTTTTGCTAAGGAAAATAAACGTTGTTCACGGACTCTGAGTGACTTGTCAGCAAAGAAGGGGGAGCGGCAACTGTTCATTCCAATATTCCGCAGTATAGAAAATCCAAGGCCGCTCGTTCTGCACAAGGACTCAGAGGCCCAGGAAAGAGGCCATGCTGTGGCCTCACTTAGAGTGACAATCAAATAAGCATCACATTAGGTATTGTTTTTTGTTTTTTTATCTCTGGCACCTTGTCCAGATTCCGGCTGTGGCCAGGAGACATCTCTGCAGACAGGGATGCCACGGGTTGCCTCTCCTGTCCGTCCTGGGTTCCAGCTGCATTCTTGTATTATGTCGGTTCCACAACTGCCCCAAGGCCGGGCCTTCTTGCTGGATCTCCCTAGAGCCCTGCCGAGGCCCTGGGTCATGAGGGGAGACCGCCGTGTCCCTGAGATCCCCCTCAACTCCGTCTCCCCATGGAGAGCCAGGAGGCTAAAAGTCACAGCTGCAAATCGATCCCTGCTTTCCTGGCCCGTCTTCTTCAGGCTGACCGAGTTGAGTAGGCAGCCGCCAACCGACCTGCATTGTTCAACAGCTGCACGAGGGTTGTTTAGTATCTCAGCCTGGAAATTTCAGTCGGGGGGGGGGGTGCTGGCCTGTGAGTGGAATACAGAGTGGCTACTTTGCCTCTCTCTATATACAAACATTTCTGTGTGTCACGGCCTGAGCTGTGATAAGTGGGAGTCAGGCTGGTGGAAATCTACTCAAGCCTGCCTAATTGTCCCAAACACAATGGTTCACTAGAGTGGAAAATAGTTTTCATCTATCTAAGTGAAGAAGATAATGACCTTTTAAATAACAGGAGCAATTTTATCTCAATACCGCAATTACTGTGAACTCTCAAAATGTCAAAGTGCTGGGCACTTTCAAAATAACTTAATTTAGACATTTATAGCTCTTAGACACTGCTAGTTTCTTATCTAACCTAATTATGGGTTGTTCAGGAAATGGCAAAGCATCCTAATTAATGTTATTTTTTATAGAGATAGATAGGAACGGCCTTTGGCTGCCTCCCGCTCTGCAGGCGAGAGCAGAGCTGCCTTCCTTTGCCTGCTGTTTTTTCAGCCCCGCCACTAAGCGGGCAGCTGAACTGAGTAGTTGAAAGACATGCACAGATTCCCCAAAAAAACAGGCTTTGGTGTCTGCAAGAAGAGAGCCGCCTTCTGTCCGTTTGTCCTCGTGGCAACTGGATCCCCTCCCTGCCAAATAGCGAAGTGCCAAGTGCAGGCGCCAGCCGTGGCCACATCCGACTGATGAACTGGACTTGAAAAGGAGAGCTGGAAGGAAGGAACCAAATTCACGTTAAAGACGTCTTCCGCCTTGCATCTGAAAGGTAAATGGTGCTAAGTGCATTGCCCAGCGCCTCTGAGGAACACCTCTCTGGTTAAGGGTGCAAGGAGGGAGCCTGTTGCTGCACATGGGGCACCCTGGTGGGGAAATTGGGGCCCTGCTCTGCACAGAACAGGTTGTGTGGTGGTTGTGGTTGTTGATGTCTCCTCAATAGCGGGATCAGTTTGAATCCCAGCTGTCGATCTCTCGGAGCAAACCAGCTTGTGTTGGGGGCTGTCCGTGCATTGAGGCTAACCGTCTTCCTGTCTGAGGCGGCCTGCTGAGTTGATGAAGTCAGGCTTGCTGGTCTGGGCAATCTCCTCCTCTGGAGCTGCTCTCTGAATTCACGGCTTCCCTAGCTACGCGCCCAGCTCTACCCGTGTTTGACTCACGCATTGCGCAATATTTATACTGACTTAGTGTTTTGTTTTGCCATCATGCTGTCTGAATGGGGGTACTTGGTTTCACTAGTTTACCATGGACAACGTATTTATGGTTTGGGTTGAGAAGGTTTTCTGTGCCTGCCGAATTCCTTACAGGTTGTTGGCCCTTAGGGAGTCCACCTCTGAGAATACCGGACAGAACCGATTCCTCGTGTTTTTAGCAAATAACAAGAAACATTTCTTTGAATGCAGCTCCTGTGGCCACTCACCCGATTTCAGAAGCCCTTATCACCCGGCCAACTGTCGATTGGTGTCCACTATTCCATATTTAGACAAGCTGGCGAAGATGGTGGTGTAGAAAAACAAGTAACATTTGCATAAAACAGATTATTACCATGAATCTTTCTATAGGTTTTACACCCACATTTTGCACCGGTGTGGCTTTGGCCCTACGATGGATGACCTTTACTGGGAAGGAGATAGGAAATGTGGCCCTGTTGAGATTTCTAGAGTTTGGATTGGCCTCCAGTATGTTGGCCTTCTTTTCTTGCTGGAAATCGTAAAAAGTGTGGGAGGCGCAACTTAACAGCCTCACCTCTCTGGGATGGGGCTCCTCTTAGCTGAAGCACAGCCGTTTGTCTCCCTTTTATTTAACATCTGTAGGACTTTGCTGGGGAGGCCGCTCCACCTGCACAGAGCCGGTTGCCTCAATCTAGAGACGATCCTCAGCTGGGCTTCTTTCCCGTGAGCTCAGAATTTGATATCTCCGAAGCCTCGTGGCATCTTCAGACTGTCCGGGGCTGCCTGTGCGAGAATGATCAGGGGTGATTTTATAAGACATCCACTCAGCTGTCACTCAGCCTGTGACACAGATACAGACTCTTCAGAATGTGATGTTGCATAAAGCCGTTGTAGTTTGACCGATGGACCTGGGAGTTGCCTTGGTTTCTGCCGCTGTGGCCTTGGCTTGATCTGATCAGTCACTTCCTCAGTGCTGAAAAGTTCTCCCCCCCCTTCTCTTCTCCCTCAGGCTGGCCTTTATGTGAGCAAAAATACTCAGTCTTTTTTGCATTATTTTCATAGCTCCTTTTCTCCATAATAAATGGTTAGGACCAACAATCTGAGAGGACAGGTCCAATTTATCATTAGGTCTCTTGCTGAATCCTATCCTTGCTCTTATGGTGTGGACTCTTATATTATAAATACTATATTTATACACATTTTGAATATGTGTATAACTATATCAAGATCGACAGGTAAAATAAACTCCACATTTAACTGGGTGAATTCTGAATCATGTTTCATAAGATACGAGCTTACTGTAAGTTAATAGAGGCAACCCTTAAGGAGAATATTATTACAGTTATCTAATAAATGAATAAATACACTTACATTGACCTCAAAATGGCTCCCACACCTAATGAACCTATTAGACAGTTGCACAACAGAGTAGTTTTTATGCCAGGGATGTGTCCTGTCTCCCACAGTGTGCGCACAAATGCACACACACACACACACACACACACACACGTAACTGCTCATACTGATGTGATTGAGAATGTTTGCAGATGGCGGTAAATTTTAATGTGGAAGAACAGGCTGTATTTAGCAGTAAAAGGTGTCCGTGGCTGAACTCTCTAAACTGCGGGATACACAACATTAACAATAAGGGCCTGATTGGGAGCAGCTCAATGGAGCTGCCCTTCTTCCTGTCTCAGCACCAGTCCGCTCTTTTCCAATGACAGCACAAGGATGGGCAGAAATAGCACAACTCAGCAACTTCGCCAGTGGCTGAGCTGTCCTAGAGGAGCCCCTCTCTCCCCATCCTAGTCTGGAAAGGCTGCTTAAAAATGCTGCTGTCCACATCTGTGCAATGTGGGGTTCAGAAGGTGTGGAGGGTCAGGAATTCCCATTTAGAGACGGGGCCGGTCATCCCACTGCCTGACGGGAGGAGGGAGACTGACCATCTGCCCCAGGTCTGGGCTTTAATGGAGCCAGGGGGCTCTGCATGGCAGGGGGGACTGCAGCTCCCAGGGGCCATCTTCCCCTCCCCGTGGGGGGCTTGATGGGTCTCTCCTGACTGACAGCGCAGGGGTGCCATGCTGATGTCAGGTGTACCTCGCAGGGGATTGGTTGAATCCTCTTTTTCTGCCCCCTCCCACTTCAGTATGGGATTGGCTGATGGGAAAAACACCCACCAGTGACTGGCCCAATTCTGCTGATGGTAAAACAGCAGAAATGGGCCAATTTCTATACACACACACACACACATACACAACGTACATCTGACTCTTTCCTGCATTGCTCCTCTCCGTCCAGCCTCTGATGAAGGAATTGACATGGTGCAAGGCAAAGATGAGGGCTGGGCTGCCAGAGTGTTCCCCAAAAGAGCAAAACATCTGTTTTATACAAGGCAATGTTGTGATGCTCAGAGAAACCTGAACAATGTAGTTCTTCTATGTAAGAGTCATAGCATTAGTGGAAATAAGCACTATTGTATTATTGTATCATCTTACTAAACTCTGATCTTGTCAAATTGTTGAGTTGATTAGGTGATGCTCTGCTGGGCAATGCGCACCAATAAAGAGTTGATTGCTTGATGGTCCAATTATACCACGCATGGCGTTACTTATCTTCCTGCAGCTCCATCTAGCCCATCATCCACAACTTGTCTTTTCCCCTTCCTAGGCCAGGATGCATTTCAAAACAAAATCTGGGCCACAACTTCTTGCCCTGTTTATTTGCAAAGAATCTGCCTGAAGACTGCAAGGACAGCAGAAATATCTTGCTAGCCTCACAGATATTGTTAATTAAATTGTTGAAGTTGGATCATTGTTTGCTGACCTTTAAAATTAGTAAACACAGTATAGTCTGGCACCAGGTAAACCATACCAATAGTTGGATCCCTATCAACTTTAAAAAAAAAAAAAAAACCTAAAAAGTGACCAAAAAAAATCTGTTTGCGGGCATGAGAGGTAACATTTGTAAATAGTGATTTGCAAGCTGAAAGTTGAAGGAAAAAAAAGTGTTGTCTTGAAAGACCTGGCTGGGATTTGGTCAAGGTTAGCAAGAATTAGGCTTCCCAAAATACATTAAATATTCTGTTTGGTCAAAGAGTTCGTCCAGCCAAGCTTGATGAAATTGAATCTGCAAAACATGTAATTACATTACTGAAAATTTTGTAAAGAGAAAAATTTCTCTGAAAGTATTCCTAAATTAACTCTGAGACCAGCTTTTAATTCTTTGCTTGCATGGGTTTAGCTTAGAGACTGCTATGGAAGCTATTGGCATTTTAAATATCACTAATCCCAGATATCTTATGGGTTTTTTAAAACTACATCTTTACCTGTATTTGTTATTTTCTGTTTTAAGTAATAAACATGTGACTAATTACTACTACTTTCGTACTTTTTGAGATTAGTCAAAAGAATGACTATTTTGGAAGGATAATTCTACACAGCAGTAAGGTGGATGAATTCAAGTCACTTTAGGAGGCCTGAAGGACCATATTTGAAACAGATGATCAGGTAGGAAATCTCTGTGGTTGTTAAATCTCACTTGATGGCCCATCCATCCATCCATCCATCCATCCATCCATCCATCCACGATTTGCAAGATTGAATTTCATGTGTAATGTAGTGTCCACGATATAGATGTCACTACTGAAATTATATATTTTGACAGAAGGAAAAGAACATCCTTTTCTGGAATTAATCTTATGATATATGCTTACAGGTTCCCTTTTTTCATAATTTTCGTTCTGCATGGATTGTGAATAAGTTGTTAATTTTTAGGGCAGTTCCATACAACCAGGTTTTCCCTCCACACCTCCATCCGGCTGATTCCATTTTGAAATCTGTCTGACAGTGATCAGATAAAATGTTCCTGAAATTGATCTGTGCTGATTGACTATTTCCAGCAGCAGGATGCGACCACTGCAGGCAGGTTTGCATGGTGTGTGTGTGAACAGAGAACCAGGACAGAGACATCAGCATTTTCGTTCTTTTGCCAAGAGCTGAACATGCAGTCTTGTCAGTCAAGCCACATTTTGTTGCTTGTGTCTTTTCAAGTTCATCTCCAAAATGCATTACTTCCTCCTCCTGACAAATATTCACAAATAAATTCACTCCAGCAATTCAGCTGCTTTTTTAGTTAACATCTTGCATCTTGTCCTTTTTGAACAGAAACTATTCCATTTTCCTTTTATTTGGAGTACAGTGTAACTAAAGAAGGCCGTTTTGTATTCTGTGTAGCCAAAGGAGGCCATTTTGTATTCTTAGCATCCTTTCAGCTCATTCAATTTTTGCTCAGCATCACCAGCTCCAAACTGTTTCCCTTTCTCTAAGTTACTTCTGCTGCCTTATCTGGTTCTCCTCACTGGCTCTGCAATTTAACATTTGTTTTCTTGGGCATCCCACCCTCTTTCAGATCCTTGTCTCCTCGCTTCTGGCATGGAATTTGACTTCAATATCCATTTCTTTGAAGTCCAAGGAAACCAGCATTGTGTCATCACTCCCCCCTCCCATTTCCTCCATTAAGGTGGTTGAGTTTGCCAAACAAATTACTGTGCAAGGCTAGAAGAATACATATGGACAGAAACTGACCTGAAAAATGGATGGTTGTTAAGGGCCATTTGCCAAGATTTGGTCTCTTTTCCACAAAGGGAGAAGACTTTGGACTTATTTAGTCAAATTTCTGGTTGTTATTTGTGAAATTTTCCAGCATATTTTTTTCTCTTTAGTTTGATATAGTCATCATCATAAAAATTCTTAAAGTTGTGTTGAACTATACATCAAGTATTTGGAAGTGTGGGTCTACTGAATGGAATGGAATAGAATAGAACAGAACAGAATCTGGAAGGGACCTAGTCCAGCGCCCAGCCCAAGCAGGAGGACTTATACCATCTCAGACAAGTGACTGTCTAGACCAGGGGTAGGCAACCTCGACTCTTTTATGACTCATGGACAGCATAGCTGACTCAGGAATTCTGTGAGTTGAAGTCCATGAGTCATAAAAGAGGTGAGGTTGCCTACCCCTGCCCTAGCCTCTGTGCAAGGGCTGTAGCTTAAAAACTGACTCTGTCCACCCTACTTTAATTGAAAATACATGTCCACTTCCCACATAGAAGCTTGTCTTGTATCAACGCAGAGGAAAAATGGACTATTCTCTTTCTGACAACCAATGCAATTATGTTTTTTTAAAAATACCAAGGGCTGCAGAGTGCCAGGTGGCAAAACACATTGAGTTTTGGATGGATGGATGGAGTTTGAAGGTCAGTTTCAGAAGCCCTGGGAAGTCAGCTAGGATGTTCCTGGCCACCTGCTAGGAGGGTCTGTCGAGGCCGAAGGAAACCAGGAGGGGCCCCGAGGCCCAGGCCGGCAGCTCTGCTGGGCCCGGCGTGTGTGTGTGTGTCTGTCGATGGGCCTGACCGAGAGCTGGAGCCCCCGGGACAGGATGGCTGCTTTGAGAGAAGGGCAGCTTCTCTTCGGGGTGTGAGCCGCACCACTGGGCGGGGGGGGGGGGGCAGGGGAGAAAAGCCCCCACTCACGTGGGAAGGTACCCAGGAGGCCATCCAGCGCAACTGCCTGCCTTCTGCAGGACTCTGCTACAATTTCATGCAACAAAGAAATCAGCCTTTTTTTAAAATGGAAAAATTTATTTATTCAAAAATACATTTTCATGGTCTTAATAACATAGAAAAGGGACCAATGTACACTTCTTACATGCATACATTTTTTTTAAAAAAAATCCTGGGTCTGTTTTATAGTCATATTGATCAACTTCAACTCAGAGCTGTTTCCCAGCCAATAAAATAGTTCATATCCCCACGATCAAGTTCTGATGTAAAGGCACAGTTTAACTTCCAGTTTTCTATTTATTCTTATTCCTCCAGTTTTTCAAAATGTTTGTCATGCCAATCATCCAAAGGAAAGATTTTATTTTTTTCCTGTTGGTTCCTGAGAACGTTGTTACTCGCCTAAAAAAATTCCCCTGAAATCTTTCAAAACAAAATGTTTCCACAGCCTTAAAATCTCCTCCAACTAAAAAGGGAAAGAAGCGCCACTAAAAGGACGGTGCCTAAATGCTTGTTGGGAGCAAAGAAGGAACTCAACGAGCCCCCACCCCCCCCCACCCCAGGTCAACCGGCTCCGTCTTGGTTGCATCATTTACACCTTGTTCTCCTCAAAGAGGATCTGAGCGTAGACGGTGGCGGAAGAAACGCCTTTGGCCTCCTGGGGAGGCTTCAGCAGCTCCAGTTCGGCGTAGGTCAGGCTCTCCTCCCGGCCCTTCAGCTGCAGAATAAGGAGAGAGGAGCCTGAATCCAACAGGCCGAGGGAGGCACCGGTCGCCCTTCGGCTCGGCAAGGATGAACCAAAGGCAGACCAGAAGTGAGATTGTAACCCCAAAATGCGCCCCAAACAGGCTTTCCCCGTGAGAAGTGGAACCAGGTACTGCAACGCCAGGCAGGCTGAAGAAACGAGAAGTGCTGGGAATGCAACACTAGATGATCTCCTGGCCATATATTCACCTGAAATATATTACCTAAACGGCACATCCTGGTTGCTTTAGCGGCCTCACAGCAGCCTGAGTTTAAGAGATACTTTGCTTCAATGGAAGCCAGCCATTCAAATGTATAGTAAATATACTAAAGTATTACAAAGTGAAATATGGTATAGTTATATGTTTTAATCTGTGAAAGGAACAATATATCCACTTTTAGAAAATCAATGCTTCCTGGGATTTAAAAAATATGAAATATGCTTATGGTTTAAAAATATTAATTCAGATCTATTGGACTCCTGAATGTTCAGAATCATAAAATCTTAGGGCTGAAAGGAACATTGGAGGTCTGCTAGTCTACCCCCCCCCCAGCCCAAGGCAAGTGATCTTATAACATACCGGACAAATAGCTGTCCAATCTTTCTTGAAAACCCCCCGAGATGGTTTAAAAAGGTCTTGTTATGTCAAAAATGTAAGAAATTTGAAGGATCTTAACTCACCCAACTGGGTTTGTTCTGTTCTTTATTTAATTAATGTATCTGCCATCCATCTCCCCATCAAGCTTAGTATAATTTGGGAAGAAATACTGTATTTTAAGATCCCGATATCCTGTTACAGTATACTCCTAAAATATGGAATTTTCCATCATCTTAAGACCTTTGGCTGAAACTGAAGAGAACCTCACTTTTCTGAGGAGAGGATCAGGTCATGCGCTGGTTCTCTATTTCTGGAAGGTCTCCATACGGTGCAGATTGAATAAATAGATACTGGATAGGAATGCAACAATAACTAGCATTTCTTCACCTAGTTTCGTAGTGGGAAACCTTTGGTGTAAAGCAGTTGAGAAATTTGTAAAACAGAGTATTCTTTGTTTTGAAAAATATTATATTGAAATCTAATTTTAAAAGCCTATTTGTGGGAGGAGCATCACTTATTTCTCTATGCTTGTTAAATATTGTAGCAATTTATGCCAATTGCGTAATGATAGGATATAAACCATTCAAATGTCATTGTGAGTAAAAATAAAATCAATAATGTCTTCTGAATTTTCCATTTTATTCAGGATGCGGGGGAGAAAAAAATATTCAACCAGCACCTTGGCTCTCCTTGAAATGGTATAATCTCCCAAAAAAATGCCCGTGTCAGGGGGGCTACAGACCTTCTCCCGAGGAGACCCTCTCCCCTGCCCTCAGCAAGGCTCCTCGTTTTATGCCCTCCCATTCACTCCAGGTGGGGTCCCTCTCCCTGCAGTCTGAAACACATGGCGCTGGGGGGGGGGGGGCCCACTGGCTGCCTCCGTGGGGAAGAGGCCCCGAGTGGAAGAAATGGCCCTGAAAGATGCCCGGGTGGCCTGTGAAGCCCAGCTGTGGAGCCTGGAGCCAATTAGCCAATGTAACCTTCACCCTCGGAGGCATCTCTGCTTCACATCCAATAAAGCTGGCCTTTAGTTATAATTCTCATTCAAAATCCAGCCGAACCACGATGATTTCTGAAATGGCACAGCAACACCCAGCTCATGTAAATTTTAGAGCTAAGATTTATGAAATTACATTGTCCAGGTGTATTATTATGTTATCTGGAAATTGCATTGTTTTCTTGGGTAGATTATATCCTTATTCCTTCTTTATTCTATTAAGTTTGGATATGAAAAATAACCCTCGATTCCTCCAATACAGGTCACTGGGCAGCCCCGGCTGATGTGTTACTTTCATACATTTTTATGATGTTCCTATAGTAAACATAATTTAATAAAGCCAAAACACACTAAATAAATAATTGCATCTAGAAAAGCAATAAAAGCAAATAAAATTAGTACTTTCATAAGTGGAAAAGGTACTTCAATTACTGCTACAAGCAACGGCGCACCATAAAATGTGTAGAATAATTTCCCTTATGCATATTTCCAGTATGTAATAATTTGATTGAAAATATGAAGAAACACACAGGAGGTTCAGAATCGTTCTCAACTACGTATAATAACTGAACATAGAAGATATGGTTTTCCAAAGGCCATTTCCAAAGCAGAAACCTGAGGCTGTGCCCCATTCTGCTTCTTGGGTTATCACTGACAAGTTTGAGTAGCTTAAAAAGGAGTTTCAAATATCAACAATAAGGAAATCTTACATGCGTCGTACGTACTTTCAAACCCTGAATATCTCCAATTGTGGGGCATTCGGCCTATTCAACTAAAAGCAAAATAGTGGGCCAAGAAAATATTGCTGACAATTTAAGGCACTGTGGGATTTAACAGGAATTTAAGAAGAAAAGTCTACTTCCTGCTTTGAACAGGGTGTTGCAAAAAGACAGCAATACAGTAAAATGCAGCCCTTATGGACACGGCTGTAAAATAGCATGATGATTTACAACATAAACTGTAGCTGAGGCGGCAGAGGGATGGCATTACAAAGCACATCTGCAGCTGGAAACACACCATCTAGAGATGCAAAGAAGAATAGCTAAAATAATTTCCATCCCTTCCTCTTCCCCTCAGTAAACGTAGTACTACCAACAACCACCGAGACCTCTGGGTATTTTGCAGTAAAATTCCTTCTTTCTCCTTCCTTCCTTCCCATCCGTCCGTCCATCCATCCATCCATCCATCCATCCATCCATCCATCCATCCATCTCTCACTAATTTTGTTTTGGAGATGTTTTTTTAAACTTTACATTCTGATAGAAAAATACATTTTGAAAGATCCTCATAACTGCAGTCACAGCTGTGGGGAGCAGGGGTTGAACTGAGTCCCCATTCTCTGAAACAATCAAATGATCACCTCAATTTTGTAACTTCCCAATGTCTCTCATTGATAGTAACAGAAAGCTGGGAGCTAGGCTGCTGCATTTCTGCTGGAATAAGGATCAGGGAGAGAAACTGTACAATTTTATGCTACGCGAAACAAGACTATCCGCAGAGAATTCCTAAGAAGAAAAGTCCCTCTATAAAAGGAGCAACCTTCACTTGTACAATGAGGGGTGATGAAGGGATGAAGTGCCTCATGGTGAATTTCTACCATTTATTCCAGAGCCTACCTCTGGGCTCACAGGCAGGGCCATTTTTCCATCTCTCCCAGACTTGCTCCTCGAAAACGTACTGCAAAAATGAAAAGAAATGGGAGGCTTTCCCATGACACGCAGTCCCCCTCCAGCCAGAACAGCGATGGGACCCAGGAAAAGCGGGAAGCTTCCAAACCTCCTTCAGAGGAAAGGGAGGCAAAAACTTTAGGGAAGTTCTCAGCCCAATCATGAGGGCCCAAGCGGGCCCCACAGCCACAGAGAGAGGGCCGAGTTGTGACCAGGGGCCACTTGGGCTCTACGGCACAAGCAGTTGCCTTCTGAATGGTTAGAGCAACACTGATCACAAAAAGTGGAGAACCTTGACATAGCCAAAGTTATAGAAACCAAGAAAATCAATCTGTAAATAAGAAATTTTAAATACGTGCTACCATAAGTTTAAAAGGAGCCCAAAGCACAGAAAGGGTCCAAGAGGAACCTCCATATTCCAAGTGGACTGTGCCATTTTGTCTCCTTGGTGAAACCCTTCCTGGCGCATCAGCAGCGGTTGGAGACCAGCAACATGGTGTCAGCCGACAAGGCGGCCGCCTCTAGATCAGAGACCTCAGTCTGCCTAAAAGGGGGCGAGTGCGTTTGGGGTAAAACTGGGCTGTGGGTGTGATGAAAGTGCAGCAGAGCTGATTGGTGTAGTATTTCATGTTAGCAGGGAATGTTGTGCAGATACACTATGACCAAGGAGCTGGCAAACCAGTCTGCTCTTTCCTTCTCTTACTGAAAAGTCATTTTTCCTCCAGCTCCGAAAAAGGGGTCCCTCCTCTCCACTTGGCCAGAGGTCCCTCGATATCTTCAGAGGACTACCTCAATTGTTGGAATTGCTATTGCTATTAGACGTTCGATGGTTGCCGTGTTTCTCTGTAAAGGTAAAGCAATACCTCTGAAAGGAGGGCCTGGCAGGTCACAGGTTGCCTTATTTTACTGAGAGAGTCACTCAGGCTCTTCCAACCCAACTTACCTCAACAGGATGCTATGAAAATGAAACGGATGCCGATGCTTGTGTAAGAGAAAGCAATAAAATGTGTACAGTGCAGGGCCTTAAACTCTTTTGGTGAAAAACGGAGCTACCAGGAGCAATCCAGTTCTGCAGGAGCTGCCATGGACCCTGAGAGTCGAAGAAAGGAAGCCTCGCCTGCGGATCCTAACCTCAAACCCTCCCGAGAGGGAACGGAACGGAAGAGAACGAGGGAACCAAATTCACACACCGGATAACCGACAGCAAGGACAGAGCTCTACAGGGCTACTCACCAAGGTAAGCTTCCTTTGTGGTTTCAGAAGTTTAGGCTTTGAGAAGGCGTGGGATATCGGTGCTGTAAAAATAAGGCCAGATAATTTCCCTCTTGCTGTCATGTGAATACAGGTAAGAGTGAAATGCACAAAGAAGAGCATCTGCCACTCAATCAGCACCCCTGCAGCTGGCCAGCATGCCCCTCGGGGTGCCCTGTGCATCTCCTGAGATGCCTCCGGACCCCATGCGCTTCCTTGGCAGCCCAGGGCCTCTTCTTCCCACCCAGGGCTGTGGCTTTGGTGTGTTCTTGGGATTGTGTACTCCACTGAGGGCACTTTAGAAGTCATATGAAAATAAGGAATAAAAGTTATGGGAGATGGGAAAAAGGAGCAGGGCACCCCCTTACCTACAATAAAGGAATTAGGATACAACGTAAGGGTTGGAAGGGATCTCGGGAGACCATCCAGCCCAACCTCCCGCCAGTGCAGAAATCCTCTTTCCCAGCATGCCTTGGGGCAAAGGGCCACCTGCTTAAATAGTCCAGCGAAGGAGCTCTCCTTCCTTTCGGAAGCCGCAGCTCCCCAGGGTCAAAGGGCTCGTAACCTCACAACTACCTTTGGCAGGAACTGCTGGCGGTGCCTCTGTCGCCCTCGGGCCTCTCCTCTGGGCGGGGGCGCCTGGAGACCCGGCTGCCTTGCTGGCACTCCCGGACTCCTGCAAGCTGGAAAACGAGAGAGAGAGAGAGAGAGAGAGAGAGAGAGAGAGAGAGAGACGAAGGAAATAGGTTAAATGGGCTCACAGAAGTGTACATTCCTCCTTCATGGATTTTGTGGCATTGATTCAAAGGCTCTCAAAACAATTTCCAGAACTTAAAATGTATTTTTCTCAAGCTAGGAGGACAACTAAAGTCAGTGACATTTTTGTAGAAAAATTAAAGGTTGTAGCTCTCAAAAAGAAGCTTCTTCTCCTACCTTTTCTGAGGACATTTCACCAAGTAACGTTTCACTGTGAAAAAATTATAGAAATAAGAAAAACAGAAATTAAAAAAAAATGTATCGCTGTGTATAGTAATTTTCACTTGCATGTGATTTCCGAAGGAGTGAGGACCATTTTGTTGGCTTTGTTCACTTTTTAAAACTTCTCAGTTTTCTGTGCAAATCTTAGGAAGTTCTCGATTTATACACAGTTTTGTGTATTTCAAAATATTTTTCAAATTTAGACACCACCCATTTGGCCATAGTCAAAGGGAAATGTACAGAGCATTCAATGGAATAAAACAAATTAAAATGCAGAATTAGTAAATTCGGTGACAATATATTTAAACTAAACTTACAGATGAATTACAGAAACCTTTTGCACTGGCAAGGGACTCACCGTGGGGTCGCTTCCTGTGGCTCAAGATCTGGCAGAGGAGGACCAGGCCGAAGAGGAGGATGCTCAGGATCCCCGCTGAGCACATCAGCACCGCGTAGACCGAGAGGTCTGGGGAGGCGGGGGGGGGGAGAGGGAGGGAAAAAGGAAAAGAGTCAGGCCCGACCCCTCCCCCCCTCCAAAGAGGGTGGAGGTTGAGTGGTAGGGCCCCTATTGACTGCCTCTGCTCCCAGGGTCCCATTGCCCTAAGCGTGCCCCAATTTCTGCTCTGGCTTATGCAAAATGTGGAGTCAGTTGACCAATTTTATGATTTGTATCTTTCCATATATGCAAAATCTGCTAATATTTTACATGGCTGAGTTTTAATATGTCCTCAATTTTGATTGCAAAAAATGTTACTGTATTTACTTGATTTTATCTGGTTGTTTTGTTCTGTTTACCCATGTATTCCAGGGAGAAACAATTCTCTGATCCAAATGCTGCAGGTAAGTCAGTGTATTAAGCTGAGACAAGAAAGAGGAAAGTAGCAATCTGTTTATATAACTGTAGATTTTACAGTTTAAGATTCTTGTGTGTGTGTTTGTGTGTCTGTATTGTAGCTTTGATCTATCTTTTCCAAAAGTCCACTTAGCTTAGTCCATTTAACTTTTTAAAAAATTTTCATATTTTAAACATGTATTCCCTTACCAATATAATTTCTTGTCTTTTTATTTTTAAACTTTTAAAAGTAAATGTGTCTCAGTTTATCAGTTTATTGATTTTTTTACCCATTTTTTCTTCTTGCTTTTTAGACAAGCAGTTTTTATATCCAGTTGTTGTCTTTAATGGCCTTTTGGAATGTTAATGGCCAAAGAAGTTTAAGAGGAAAAGGATCTTTTTCAAATGGAGTGATACAACATCTGAATTTCCTAGAAGTAACTCATAATCTTCCTGATAAGTTTTTTTAAAATTAAGATAAATATACAATTGCGGTAACTGAAAATCAGCTAGAATAATGATTATGAATAATAAATTCTCAAATTTGATTACATCAGATACTATTTTAAAATATTATTATGCTCCAATTAAGGGCAAACCAGAAGTTTTACATATGGTAATGCTGAAAAGTTTCTTCTTCACACAAATGTAGCTTTGGATCATTTTTTTCAATAAATAAATAAATAAGCACAATGTTTTTAACTAATTTGTTTAATTGGTTTCTCTTTACCAAGTTTTAGGACGTGTAGAGAAAAGATAATGTTGTATTTCATATTGATGCAAAAATATTAAAAATTCAAAAAGGTTCACAACTTTTAAACACTAAAAGTATTATACCTGTCTTTTAAGAATGAATCATGAAATTATGACGTGATTTTAATCAAGTTTTGAATCCTTTGCTTGGCCAATCAAACAATGAAATGTAATTCAAGCTTATTTACTGGAATTTTCTGGCTAAAGTAACATTCAAATCTATCAAAGTATTATTTTTCAAACTCCGTATCAGATCTACTCTCAATGAAATAATTCTAATATAATTAGAGTTGTTTCAAAATGAGATGGGCAGCAAATAATAAAATAAAATATAAAATAAATAATAAAATTTCTATTGTTATATCTGAACATGTTCCAATACATTTACTTCCCCAAAAAATGTTCTACTGGTCCAAAATAATATTTAAATAGATAATTATCAAAAGGTTGTCTAAATCAGGTGGAAAAAAAATCAGGGTTTTAATTCAATTATTGTTTGGGACACCTTTAATGAACATATTCATGGCTGGATTATTGTATAATGCAGTGGTGGCGAACCTATGGCACGGGTGCCAGAGTCAGCACTTGGACCCCTCTCTGTGGACACACGTGCTGTTGCCCCAGCCTCACCTCCCCCCACCACCCCCTCCTCTCCAGCAGCCCCCCTGGAGAAGAGTCACCCACGAGCGTGGCCCATGCGGAGCAGTGCAGCCAAGGACATGGCAGTCAGGCAGTGTAGACAAGACTCTGCCCTCACACCCCATTGTGCACAGTTGATGCTGCAGGGCACGGACAGAGGGTGTGACCACCATAGCGCTGCGGGGCTGCCTGGCCCTGGAGGCAGTGAGTGGCCCTGCGGGCAGGCGGGGCAAGGGATGGGGGGTGGTGGAGCGGGGGCAGGGCAGGGGGTTGAGTAGGGGCGGGGCCAGTTTTTGGGCAGTTTTGGTCTCTAAAAGGTTCGCCATCACTGGTATAATGCTTCGCAGAAATAAGAGGAAAAAAGTCTGAAAAAATGATGAGCTTTTGAACACCTCAAAAATAATTTCTAGCAATTTCAAGCATCTCTTCCTCGTGGAATTTAGATTACACTTTTCTACATATATAGGCACACTATAAAATCAATATAAAATGAAAACCATGGCAAAGAGGAAGGACCGGGCGGTGGGGTCCTCCTTGCTCGCAGCAGGCTCAGTTTCTTCACTTTTTAAACATTTGTCCCTGACACATAAACACTATTCCTGCTCACGCTGGAAATGGGAGAGGCAAAAAAGAGACAGGTGTCCAACAGGAAATGTAGTGGCTAAAAGCACCCATGTCAAAGATCCTCCAGCCACAGAAAGTGTTGCCCTCGTCCCACTAGCAATTCACACGTTCATCTAAACTTTGGGGAACGTATCTTGGTTTTTTAAATTAAGGTTGCACAAAACCATGTGATCTGTGAAGAATAACAAAAAGGGAAAATTGTACTTACCTTCAAAAAATGCCCACGTTTTGTGTTTTTCTTCATCCAAAAAATGGGATGGAAGTACTGAAAAACAAAGAAGGAAGTGATCACCTGCAGAAAATAGTTTTTCATCTAAAAAACAAATCTATCAACTTTCACTTAATTTGGAAACTCTTTAGAGATTATAATTCTGCCATATTTTAAATCTGTGTCTCTTGTAACGCAAGGTTTTAAAACATTATATTCTTTTTTAGCTAGTTATAAGGTTAAAGAGAGACGTCTTCAGATGTGTCAGAACATCTTTCTAATTCCTCTTATTCTGACTAATAATTCAGTTTGGCTGTTTTTGTCACTTTCTGGTTTGACTTGTATAAATAACCATTAATTCCAATTTAATGACACTTGTACAAACAATAGTGGAATGTTTTTTTTCTACTTTTTCCAATATTTTGTAAATTCTCCTGCAATTTTATATTTTGTAATATTCTTCTAATCTATTCCTTTTTTCCTTCCTTTGTCCCCTCTATTTCTTTTTTCAATTTTTCAGTTCTCTTACATTAAAAAAATGTCACAGTAGAACCTGAAATGTTTCCATAAATATTAAAGAGAATCCATAAAGCATAACCAAAAATAACAATTAAAAATAATCAAGGAGGCTAACCAACTAATCAAGAAACTAATTAAGAAATGAATCAAGGAGAGAAGCAACCTGGAACTAAGGAGAAATTTCCGGACAATGAGAACAATCAAGGAGTAGAATGGCTCAGCCTCCAGAAACTGTGGATGCTCCATCGGTGGAGCTTTTCCAGAAGAGAGTGGACAGACACTTGTCCAGAATGGAAGAGGGTCTCCTGCCTTGAGCAGGGATTCAGACTAGAAGACCTCCAAGGTCCCTTCCAGCTCTGAGATTCTCTTTAAATCCATTTAAAGGGGGGTGGGGGATGTGGAAGGGTATCTGATAGAGGGTGGCAGGGTGTTTTCATGAGTACTGTTTGAAACTGATTTGAAGAACTGGAGAAATCCATTTGGCACACTACAAATTTTATCTCCTTTTAAAAATCCCAAACAACGCTGCAGATCCTGGGTGGCTTTTTCCTGCTGCTCATCGCCTGGGTCCTGGGCAGGCCTGCAGGCGGGGATGGGGGGATTCTCCCCCCCAGAAGTCCACCAAATTCCTGAAAGATAAGCAGGCAAGTAAATGGGGAGTAGCAGCCTGAGGATACCTTTGGCAGCAAGAAAGGAGAGCCAGGGTGTCCTGGGGATCGTCCACCAGCGAGAGAGAGAGAGAGAGAGAGAGAGAGAGAGAGAGAGAGAGACAGAGAGAGAGAGAGAGAGGGAGGGAGGGAGGGAGGGAGGGGGAGGAGAGGGAGGGAGGGAGGGAGAGAAATGATATGTCATGTGAAAACCCGTGACATGAAAAAGCACCAAAGTTACCGCTCCTCCACATATAGTCATACCCTGTTTTTTAAAAATGAAGCTGGGAACCCACCAGCGATGGCAGAGCAAGACAGAGACAGAGGGTGGCCGAGCTGGACTTAGAGAAGGGAGAGGAAGGTGACCACATATATTATTTCAGATGCGAAGCATGTAATTTTCCTCCTCCCCATTCTTATAATTGCTTCCATCATCCTGAAATTAATGGAAGAAAACATTAGTCATCTCTGAAAAAACAAACTTTATACAGTTTTGCATTTTAAGTCCTTTTAAGTTCCATCTGAGGAATAAAGTGCCATTTCCACCTGAGGCCGAATGTCCTTGGCTGGCCTTCAGTGTGGATCTGAAGCGTCTGACCACAAGGCTCAGCGCATTCACCACACAACAGGTCAGGCTCTTCCTGTCAGACTTTGACACACATCTAGGCAAAACTGGAAAGGATTTTTATTGAAATACAACTATTAGGGAAGTTCAGATATGTAGGCACCTATTTTTCTTTTGTATTTGTGATGTTTCACAAATTCTCTCTGTATTCTATTTTTTGCCAGATGTGGATTGTGGTAAGCACATATCCCAGTGATGGCAAACCTTTTAGAGACTGAGTGCCCAAACTGCAACCCAAAACCCACTTACGCATCGTCGAGTGCTGGGTGGGTGTGGCCCATTGGGTGGGCGTGGCTGTGGTGGTAACGGCAGACTGGGTGGGACTAAAAAGTTTAATCAATCAATTTCAACTTTGCAAGATGTTTTTTTTTTCTACAAGAAGTTGAAATTGACTGATTGAAACTTTTTTTTTTTGCACACGGCGACGGAGGCCTAAAGCGAAAAGCTTTTATAAAACCCAGCTGAAGGCCGAGGACTGGGGTGATGGCGTGCGGGCCCACTGACATATCCAATCTATATTTATTTTTCTGGCTCACAATGAATATGAGCACATACATCAATACATCTTTTTTTTAATGAGTCTACAACTGCAATCCATTTTTTCCCCTCCATTTGTTAAAATATTATCTGTGTGCATGGATGTCAATCACTTTGCACAACAATCTGTTTGTTCTCTTTTCTGTTTAAAATTTCAGGAGAAAATAAAGCAAAAGGTTGCCCATTCTAGGTCAACCAAGATGAAAACGCTGTTTATGGCTTGACAACTGGAAAAGACGATCCATCCATATCCCTTTAATGAAGATGGGACTCAGCAATGTGGTCACAGGCAAGGTGGTCACATCACAACCATTGTATAGTTTATCTTTATTGATTAATCAGTTGGCCACATCAAGCCATCCCTTTGTAAATATGTGGACGTCAACCCACGTCCCAACCCACGTCCCAACAACAGGCGAAATGTCTTCCAAGAAAAAAACAAGAAAGTCCAATTGCCTCCTGAAAAAGGATCTTTGGGATCTTCAACAATAATTCTGCTACAACCATCTTGCCTGTTTCAAAGTCTTGCAGATGCCTCCAAAGAGAAAGCTCAAAACATGTGTACTCAATTACACAACTTCTTCACACAATCATTTTTTTGCTATGGTTTCATAAAGAGGAAAAGAACCACACAATGAGGGGGGAAAAGGTGAGGTAGATTCAGAAATGGCAGACCAGGAGGTCGGAGGGCTCACATCGGGTGATCACGAGAACAGCAAGATCACTGGAAGATCTGCACTTATACTTTATTGACTACAGAGAAGCCTCTGGCTGTGCAAAAGAGGCCAAACTGGGGGACACACCAAGGCCAAAGCTGACCAGAGGACATCTGAATAGCCTTCTGGCGCATCTTCATAACCCGACAGAGCCTCCCAAGAGAAGGTCCTCTTTGGAGAAGAGAAGAAAGTGGTTCAAAATGGAAGGGGAGGGACACGAAGATGCACAATGCCCACAGTTGCTTTTTATGAGATAGGAGGACATATGAAAATCATAAGTAAATAAAAATAGTTTCCTCATTAACCGTTTAACATGTGTAGTGAACACCTAAGAAGGGAAAGACTGCAAGTAAAGACACCAGGAATAAAAGTTTGAAGTTGTAACAACCCGATCTATTCAAGGGACACAACTTCATTAGCCGAACATTAGGAGCTCTTAGAAATGCTAGTTGTGAACGTAAAAAATGGAAATGAAAGTCTGGGCTAGTATAAGTAGCCGTCGGCTTACAACAGTTCATTTGGTGACTGTTCAAAGTTACGACGATACTGAAAAAAAGTGACTTAGGACTGTTTTTCATAGTTACGACCTTTGCAGCATCCCCACGACTATGTGATCAAAATTCAGATGCTGATAACCCTGTTACTAACTTATCGACTGCGGTATTTCGCTTAACAACTGTGGCAAGAAAGGTCATAAAATGGGGCAAAACCCACTTAAGAAAAATTTTGGCCTCAGTTCTGCTCGTAAGCCGAGGGCTGCTTGTGTCAGATACTGAGAAGACGAAGAAGGTGAAGTCAATCGTGTCCGGGGAACTTACAGTTTGGCAAGGAAGAAGGGAACGTGGAAGGCAACTTTGCTTTCCTGGGCTCAGGAGTGGACAAGAGAGGGGCAGTTTGGTGGGGAAGTAAAGAGGAGGCTGAAGGCGTTTTAGGTGAGACCCCCCCCGTCCCGCCCCGATGGCTGAGATTTGTGGCATTCAGTACTGAGCCTTCGGGTGGGGTGTGTGTGTGTGTGTTTGTGTGTCTCGGCAGGGCGAAGGCCTCCAACAGCTGCAAAAGCTGGACAAGGAGGAAGAGTCAGAGGGGGGAAAATCTCAGCTGCCTTGGAACTACGGATCTTCCCACCACGGATTCTTATCCTCCCGCCTCCATTGCAGCAAATAAATAAATAAATAAATAAATCCTACACACATTCCTCATCTACAACTCTTAGGTTTCAGGGAGTTTCTTTTCCAGGCTTCCAAATTCCAGTAGTATAGAAAGAGAGCAAATACTGGCAACAGCTGTTATCAGAGACGCTGATGACAATGGCAATTTGTGCAATGAATCCATCCGTCCCTTTTTCTAAGCTGTGGAGCTCCTGGCACACTCATTTTTAGTCGTGGGGAAGCTGTTGGTGCTATTTTGATTCTTTATGTAGCTATGCCAATTTTATGATTGCATATTTGAGCTTTATAACGTTTAACCTCTGTTTTGGAAATAATCTAGAGAGCTACACATTTAAAATGAGGTAAATAATTTGCTGTTTATTTTCCTGTAGCAAAGGCCAAGAAAACGCCTCTCTTTCAGGGTTGGTAACCCTGCTTCTCTGGCTCCTGACTGGATCTGGGGAGTCCTGAGCCAGAAGGCCCCTGGGGAAACTGAGGCCTGTAGACTCAACCAGTCTGGGAAGATAAAAAAAAAACACCTCAAAGGAATGGCGAACCCAGTGGGAAACTTGAGAGAAAATGCACCTAGAATGTGCAAGCCTCAAGCATGGCTAAGAGACGTGGAAAATATTTTCCCTTAAACTGTTTTTCCTTCTGTGGACAGATGCTGGCTAAGCGCTCTCTTCCAATCTCCCCATTTAAGTGAGATTCAGAGCCCTGGGAGGCTGCATTTCCGTTTTTAAAAGACTAGGAAGATCATCCACGCAGCATTTCTCTTCGGTTGTCCCAGCGCCAAGCCAGCCTGGATCCGCCCACAGAGGTTCCACTTCCAGCCGCTGCTGCAGCTGCACCAGCGTCCTGGGCCCAATTCTGCCTGGCAAGGGAGACTGGGCTGCTCCCTCCCTGGGTGGGCAGGCGGGGGGGAGGGGGGCTCACTCTCTTGCTCAGGAGAAGATGTGAACTTTCCATGGCAGTCTCAGAAGAAGCCCGAGAAAGGCGGGCAGGCCTGCTCCACGTGGCATCGCCAGAGGTTGGACTGGGGTCTCTTCCCACCCCAGCAGCCCGAATTACAGAGTCAGATCAGCTCAGAGTCCGAGGATAGAACAACTTCTTCTCTAGAACAACTAAGACTAAAAGACCCATCTTCCACAGCTGGATTTTCCTGATCTGCTGCTGAAGGAGACCCCTCCCCTTCTCTTTCGGACCCCCTAAGGGCATCATTTGGGTCACCATGAAATCCAGCCACGGCTCTCCCCATCCACCCATCCATGAAGCCCCCCATCCTTATTTCTGATGCCACTGGACTCCTTGGGCCTGATTCGGAGCGGGGAACCCGGCTGGGGGGCCACACACCCCTCCCATGATACGCTGCACCGTCCTTGCACAGAGGAGCTCAGCTGGCTGGCCCAGCTCAGGCGGAAAGAGGCTGCTGACATCTGCAGTTCTGCCAGGGAGCAGCTATATTTACCACTGGTCTTTAAAATGCTTTGCTCTGGGAAAATGAGAGTTCACGTGGCCCGGCTGGTTGGGGGTTCTGCGTATTTTTACAGGCAAGTCGCCACCAGCAACACGCCAACACTGAGTTGGCTTTGCCAGTGTTGCTCACACTGCTGGGAAGTTCAGGTGTAAATTGAAAATGCAGAAAGTGTCCTGTGGCTCTGTTGAGTTCCCTCTAAACAAATGCAGGTCTTTCTTTCTTTCTTTCTCTTTCTTTCTTTCTTTCTTTCTTTCTTTCTTTCTTTCTCTTTCTTTCTTCCTTCCTTCCTTCCTTCTTCCTTCCTTCCTCTTTCTTTTTTTCTTTCCTCCCTCCCTCCCTCCCTCCCCTCTATTTCTCTCTCCCTCTTTCTCTAATAGGAACCTATTTTGCTTTTCTTTCTGATCCTACTCTGCTAAATCAGAAATCAAGTTTCAAAAAATCAACATATCCCTTCATGGGCTTTTTGTGCTTTTTTTTTAAGTATTTCTTACTGGTACTTTTGAAATCATCTCCAAAGAAAAAAGAAAAGAAAAACTTTGATATATCAATAGCAACCAGCAACTTACTACCAGACCTCCTTTTGTAGCCCTGGGATAAAAAACTAGGAAATTGGGGTTTGTTCTGGGTTTCTATGATTTCCTATAGTCCAGAACACTGAAAACATTTTTTGTTCTGTTCCATACAGGATGGGAATCACCCCATGTGCTCGGGAGGGGGGAGGGGTTTTCGCGGGTGTTTGTATGTAGGTCTTTGGTTATTCGGGTTTATATATATATTGGATGATAATTGTCTTCAACCAAAATGGTCAAATCTGAGGTCTTGTTGGGCTTACCTCTTTGTGGGGTACAGCAGGAAGAACAGCTAGACAACAATCCTACATAGACTGCAAAAAAATACCCCCAAACAACAACAAAAAAAACCCACTGTTATTTTCTCACCTTGGACTTCAGTGGAGGCACTACCGTTGGACCACGAAGTCCACTTGTTCCTTTGCTTGCCAATCTCCTGAACTTTGCAAATATAGTGTCCTTGTTCGGCTTGCTGGATATTCAGGATCAAAAACGTGTACATCGTCCTGTGTTTCTCCTCCATAAGATGAAGCCTTCGCTTATAGAAGTGGCTTGTGTAATTTCCATAGTACTGGACGACCCCATACTTGGTCATTTTGATCATCAGGTATTCCTGGGCAGAGGGGAGAGCAAAAATCCATCGGACAGCCAAAAGGTTTTCTCTTCGCCTTTTCTGAGAAACATGGCAGAATAAAGTAACATTATCTCCAACCACATGCCGGGTTCTGGGTCCCGGAGAGACGGTCACATTCAGAGCTTCACAAATATCTACAAAGCGAAAAACAAACAAATGCATCTCAGGAGCTGTGGGCAACATTGTATCATTCTTTTTAGGACTTCTCTTAACTGATACGTAACAAAATTATAGCTCTTTTTAAAAACAAGCAATTGAAAAATTCCTTTATGTTATGGGTTATCAGAGAAAAACAGACTCCACTCATACAGACATATTTATCCCAAAATCTTTGCATTTTTTTCTATGCATTCGTATTTTACCATTCTGAACTTTCTTGAGCTTTTAAAAATTCTTCCACTGTATTTATGCCTAGTTAACTTCAACTTACAGCAGTGTCCAATGACTTTAAGATATGTGGGTTTCAACTCCCAGAATTATGCAGTTGTTGGTAACTTAGGATTCTGCACTCATTTAAGTTTTAAGCACTTCTCAAAGATAGCCATAAGAAGAGAGCTTAAGTTTGGCACGGAGAACAATTGCTTGGTCTACTTTGGTGTAGTGGCTAAGGCGCTGCCCTAGAGACGAGGGGTCTGTGAGTTCTAGTTTTAATCTTGCCTTGGACATGAAAACTGTCTGGGTCTATTATGTGCGTGTGCCACTTTAAGTTACTTATAAAATAATAAAGGTGGGATAAAAATCAAGTAAACAAACCAAGTTATGGATAGCTATTGCCAGGCCTAACCAGCTTAAGAATAGTCACAACCGGCCCACTAGATACGCAAGCAGGCCCATTAGCTGCTAGCTGCTTGCAGGGAAACAGAAGCCAAAGGCCAAGCTAGGCAGCAGCAGCTCTCCTCCCCCCCAGTCAGCATGGAGGAGACCTGACACACAAGGCCAGAAGTGCCACATCCACGGACTCTTCCCCCTCCCCCTCCCCTAAAAAGTGGAGGTGCTTGAAGCTCTGAAAGTTGCCCAACAGCTCCAAGTCAAGTTGCAATTCCCCCATCTAGACTTCTGGGTATATAAATGATTAACCGCTTCCAGTTTTCATTCTGGCCAAAAGCCTGCAGGTAACGGGGCCCAGATAATCAACACACTCTGATGTGCCTGGAATTATATAGGGTCTCCATTGCTTTAGATGAAAATGGCCCATTTCCTGTATTTCTGGCGGTCAAGAAGAGAACTTACTTGAAGAGTAACCTGTTCTGAAGCAAGGAGGGGACAGGCAATTTCATCCACCAACATAGGCAAAAGTGCTAGGCTTCCACACACACAACACCTTTGGGGGCAGCAAGAGGGGCAGGATCCAGAGCAGGTCCTGCCCCCAAACCGGAGCCCAGATCTAGAGCTGCACTCTGGGCTGCTTCCTCCACAGGCCAGCATCTTCAGCGAATCCCTTCTCTCTTCTTCTGACATCGGAACGCAAGAAAAAGCTATGCTGGCCTAAGTGGGGGGGGGGGCTCCACTGATTCAGACCCAGAGTTTCCCCCCATCTGCTCCCCAACTGTCCCCTCTCCTCCTCCTCCTCCTCCTCCTGCTTTCCCGTGAAAACAAGGGCTGGGCTGGCTCTGGAAAGGGAAGGGGACCCCGAGGAACCGTAACCTTCGCCCGCCGGCCCATCGCTCCAGTCCGGAGAGAAGCAAGCGAACGCGGCTCCGCGGCGGCTCTCGCGTCGGGAGCCCCGGGACAGAAGTCTGGCTTTCGACGAGCCCCTCCGCCTACAGCCCCGGCCCTTCGCTGGCTTTGCCTTTAAAAGTTCTCTTCTTTTAAATAGCCTTTTTTCCCGCCCGGCGGCGGCTCCGGTCCCTTCGCAGACGGGGCTCCCAGGTCGGAGTCCGCTACGTTGAGATTTTCCGAGCAGGCCGAGTCAGCGTCGGCGCTTCACTGCGGCCGGTTATTTGTTCACGCTTTCAAATTCCCGCTCTCCGTTTTGGAGGCTCCCAACGGCCTTCCCTGCGCCCCTCCGGAGAGGCGGGTCCCGCCAGGCACACGGCCGGGGGAACGGGCGCCCTCCACGGCCAGCCCGCGCGGATCGGAGCCCCCCGGAGCTCCAGGCTCAGCCGCGCCCCGCCGCCCTTCCCCTCCCCGAAGGCCGCGAGGGGGCTCCGGGGGCCCCTCCCCGAAGGAAGGGAGGCGCCCTCGCCCTTCCCCGAAGCGCCGCCGCCGCTGCAACGGGCGGGGCGGAGGCGAGCGCTGCTCCCGCGGGGAAGACGCTCCGAGGGCCGGGCCCCGCGCCCTCCCCGTCGGGCGCCGTTCGGCCAGGACCGCCGCGGGCCTCCCGCCCCCCCCTCGCTTACCTGCCCAGGGCGGCCCGGCCAGCAGCGCCAGCAGCGCCAGCAGCCGCATCGCGCGGGACGGGCGGCGGGACGGGCGGCCGGGGGCTGGGCGGGCGCCCGACCGGCTCTCGCGACGAAGCCGCTTCCCTCCCCGGCCGCCTCCCCGGAAGAGCCCGCTCGCCCGCCCGCCGCCGACGGCCACGACGCCGCGCTCTCGCCGAAGGCGGGCCGGGCGGAGGGCGGGCGGGCCGAGCAGGCAGGCAGGCAGGCAGGCGCCGCCTTCCGAGCCTCCCCCGGGCCGGGTGGGGGGGCGGCGGGCGGCGCTCCTACCCGCGCAGCGGCCTCCCGCGTCCCGGCGCAGAAGCCGAGGCGGCTCCGCGAAGGCCGGCCGCGCCGTCGAAGCTTTCCGAGCCGGCGGGGCTCCTCCGCGTTTGGGTCCCTCCCGAGAAGGCCGATTGGCCGAGCGATAGCCAATGGGGCGCCGGCCCCAGCCCGGCCCGGGTCGCTCCCTTCCAGGGGCTCCTGCGAGGGCCGTGTCGGTCCCGCCGCCCTCCGAGGGCAAGGGCGAAGAGCGGCGGCCGGGGGTCCGCCGGAGGGGGGAGCTCCTTTGGGCCCGGCTCCTCGGACGCCCGGAGCCTTCGAGCCTCTCCGCCCTCCGGGCCCGATCCCGGGGGGGTTTCTCGGAGGGAAAGGATGCCCCCCCCCCGCTCGCGTCCGAACCGGAGTCCTCCTTAATTGGACGCCGCTGCAGCCCAGCAGAGGCCGAGAGGCAGGTGGCCCCTCCCTAGACGGGGCTCCGGGAGCCTCTGGAAAGAGAGCCGCCGGGTTGCGCTTGGAGGCCCCGGAGCCTCGCCCGGTCCGGGAGAGACTGGAGGTGTGAATGTGTGTCTGGGGGGCGCCTAGCTTGACTAAATGCAGGAAGCTTCACTGTTGCTCTGATTCACTCGGTCCATCCTCACTATGGATGGAGACGAGCAGAGCCATTCCTGGCTTGTGTGAACCTTCTTCAACTCCTGCCAACTTGGTTTTTGTGACGCCCACTGCAGACCCCCCTCTCTAGCCCTTCCCTCGCCTTTCACAATTTCCTGGGATGCCACTTTTCTTCGTGGACAAAATTGAACCCCAATAGTTTATTTCCCCTTTTCTTTGTCTCCTGTTAGCATGTTACCTTCTTTGCTGAGCAGCTGGTATATGAGTTATTTGGGGATAGATTCTGCATTTTTCTTACAAAATATGAAGTTGGACTGAATGGCCTGCATAAAGCTGTCTGAACAATGTTATGTGCAGAAGAAACACGTTTTTTTCCTTATAGAACGTACCGTATGTGACGGTTAAAGGGTCGACTGGGCCCAGAGACACCAAATTCCATCTTGGTTGGTTTGGGGCCAGTCTCTCTCTCTCTCTCTCTCTCTCTCTCTCTCTCTCTCTCTCTCTCTCCCTCTCCCTCTCTCGGCACAATTTATTCCCCTCATTTGAGAAGGAATAAAATGCAGGTTGAGCCACACGTCTCCTGCCTGGAGTGGTCAGAGAAGAGATGCCCTGAACGGAGAGGCCGTTTTCCACGGCTGTCCAAAGAAGGCCATCGGTCAGTATGGCAGAGCTTTTGGTTGTGCCCAGAGGCTTCTCCTCGGCACGTCTCATGTTCATTGACTGGAGATTATCACACACCATGTGCTGATGACAAGAGCTGGGAAGCTTTGCTGCTTTCTTTAAAAATCTGGCTTTAAAATAAGTTATCCAGGGCTGCTTCAGAGTAGGGAAGCACTATAGAAAGAAAGAATTGGAGTAAAAATAGTAATCAGAAAGTTTGTTTCAGCAACTGCACAAACACATGTGTTTCTCATCACGGCAAGAGGCCTGCTCTGTGTAGAACTGGGCTCTTTCCAGCCTTCTGTTGAAAGCTGGCAGGAGAGCCTATTCACTCCGTACTTAAATGACTGACTCACCAAATTATGCAGGATGCCATTAGATGTGGGAGACGCTTTTCTCAGGCTGGACCAAATCCATCTGGAAGAGAGAACAAAGGGGGGGGGATGCCAGGGAAGCCCAGGGGGAGGAGTTCGGGTCACCCTGCCTGCTTTTGTCCTGAACCTACAAATAATAATAATAGTAGTAAAGTTGGAAGGGACCTTGGAGGTCATCTAGTCCAACCCCCTACTCAGGCAGGAAACCCTACACCATTTCGGACAAGTGGCTGTCCAGTCTCTTCTTAAAAACTTCCAGTGTTGGAGCATTTACTGCTTCTGGAGGCAGGTTGTTCCACTGATTAATTGTTCTCACTGTCAGGAAGTTTCTCCTTAGTTCTAGGTTGCTTCTCTCCTTGATTAGTTTCTACCCGTTGCTTCTTGTCCTGCCTTCAGGTGCTTTGGAAAATAGCTTATTTCCCTCTTCTTTATGGCAGCCCCTGAGATATTGGAATACTGCTATCATGTCCCCCCTTGTCCTTCTCTTCGTTAAACTAGACATACACAATTCTAGCAACCGTTCCTTATATGTTTTAGCCTCCAGTCCCCTAAATAAAAGTAGAATGACGAGGGCGAAGGAAAGCAAAGGTAGTACTAATAACAACAGGCACCCTGGCTGAAACCCCAGAACAACTGGATCGCCACTTGAACGGCCTTGACAAATTCCCCATCGGTCCATTGCAAAAAGCGGCTTTACATCCTGGGACGGATGGGCTCTTCCTCTCCGGGGTCCTTGGGAAGGGCGCGATGGGCAGAGAGGAAAGCCAAATCCGGTCTGAGCATCTGGCTGACTGTGGACCGACCATGGAATAGATTCACTGTGGGAGCCCCATTTCCAAGGGCTCTGCAAAGATGCAATAATACCCAATGAACTGACTGCGGTCCTTTAAAATGAGACAAATATTTTAGAAATTTTGGTTCCCCAGTCAGAAGATGCAGATTTAAAATTGGTTTCATTCAAAAAGCATTCCCCTTCGCTTATTCTTCAAGCGCCTCTTTGGAGGCCCTCATAGTCTCTGTTCTAGTAGAGCCTCACCTTGGTTTGTCACAGGTTTTATTATGGTTAAAAAAGACCCTTTCCTACGCTAATTAACTAAGACTAACTAATTACGCTAACTAACCTTCAGTATATTGAAATTGCTGTCAAACAAAAGAGGAGCCAGACTTCCGGTTCCGGAACGTGGTGACACCGGTTGTGCCTGGAAACTTGTCTCCAGGCCGTCCGGAGTTTCCTTCGCTGGTAGACCCCCTAGGGGGTCGAAAGCTACCTTGGAGGGCGACCACCGAGGAGGAGGCTGGCTGATAGATAGGGGAGGGTGGCAGCTTCCCCCGAATCTCCAGCTTCTCCTTAGGGCCGACAGAGCAAAGATCGGCCTGTAAGATGGCCGATCACCCTGCTGCACCAGCCGAAAGTCACATTGTCATATAAGCGTTAACGACCCACCATGGATGATCCGGGTGAGATCCCTTTTGTTCCTCTCCATCGCCCTGCTGCTTTGGCCTGTAGAAGCTATTTGTGCTATCATTTCCCTGTCTGGAGAAAGCGGCTTTAGTAATCGTGGGAACAAACACGTTTTACAAAAAGGACAGAAAAAACAAATAAATATTCATTTAAAGACTATACTCTATTCCTACTTACATTGTGCTGTAGAAAAAACTTTTTTGTGTGTTTTTTGGAGCGGTATTATATCGGCAGAATATTTCTTTTTCTATTCTCCCTTTAAGTTTAAAGGATAGAAAAAAAGAAAAAAAAACCTGGTGTTTGAAGAAGTTTTTTTATCTCACTGAGGACACCTACTGGTCAAAAGTTAATATTGGATTGTTGTTTATTTGGAGATAAGAGAGAACTTTGGCCTTCAAACTGTTTTTCAAGAAAAAAGATAATTTGAGCTAGCTGTGTGATCTGTGGGGGTGGATAATGTTCAACTGTAACCTTCACTAAAAAGGAAAAGGACACTTCTTCAACTATTGCTAAAATGGAGAAGCCCCAATCACACTTAAATTGTAAACTTATACTGGAAAAGATCTATGAGGCTAAAGAAGAAATATGTACTACAATAAAAGAGGCTACTACAGAACTAAGAGCCAGAATCTCTACTTTAAAACTTAAAACTGACTCCCAGACTACACTTGACTACTCTACAAAACAGATTATACAAGAAGAGGTTTTAACTGAGGATAAGGAGAATCTTATTTAGCCTTACAAGCAAGACCAGGAAAAGTAAAGACCAAACTTTGGACTTCTGAAGCAACGAGGCTTTATGGACAAGAGAAACAGAGGATTAAATCAGAGATCAAGATGGTCGGTATCGAATCAAGTGATACTACAAGCAACAAAAAGAGACCTATTATCTGGAAGGGAAGTCCTGTTATGGAAACCTACCTGGCAAAAGAGGAAAGCTAGAATAAGATTGAAAAATGAAATTTAAAATTTCTTAAATTGGATTAAAGGCAACCTAGAACTATGGACTGAGATTTTGAGTTTGAAGTAAAAAGATGTCTTAGAGTTGGAGTGAATCAATAATTAATTGAATGTTAATTAAATAAGACGACTTGTTGGTCCTATAACATGTGAAATTTAAACTTTACTTAAAGGATTGAAATGATTTAAGGTTTGATATTAATTTGTTAATTCAAAGAGATTGATTAAGTGAAGGATTAGATATCTATAGAATAGTTTGATAAATACATAGACATTTAGATGTGTCTAGGATAGATTAATATTTTGTTTAAAAACAAGATATCTTTCTATATAAGGGATTAAAGACAGTTTAGAATATTAGGAATGTTCCTTTTAGAATGTTAGGTTTATTTCTATGAAAATTATGATGTAATGGAATGATGAAAATTGAAGAGCTGTTTCAGATTTGAAGTGAACTAATAGTTAATTGAAATTTAATAAGATACGATTTTCTGATGATATGGATGTTATTAGTCATGATAATTAATTGGAGATTTGAATTTTATTTAATAGAATGACATGATTTAAGGTATGATATTATTTTTTTTAGCTTGAAGAGATAGATCAATTGATAGATAGGTACAGGATAGATTAATATTTTACTCTAAATAAGGGAGAGTAATGGAAGAAGAAACAAATAAGATTTTGATAAAATTAAGAAAGTAGAACATATGTGGAAGGGATATTTGAATTGAAAATGTTTTTATTTAAAGTTAATTTGATTATGGTAGCAATTGATGAAGCTTAAAAACAGGTTCAGGTTGAATAAATTTAAGCTAGAATTGGATATTCTAAATATACTATGCTAATTGAGGGGAAAAGAGAGGGAATATTTGACGTATTGATTATATTATGTATATATGTCTTGTTTTAAGATGTTTGATTACCCCAACACCACGGTGTGTCCTGAATATGTTGCTTTA